CTGTAAATAATATGATTGTCAAGATTTATTCATAGTAATTAAGACATTTATCGAAATTGGTCAAGATGGTTTAGAAAAATCGAAATTTCTCACCTTAGGTCAAGGTTGTTGGTTATTCAGGCAAGACAACTATGCGATGCAACATAGTCTGTCCAGGTGATGAGAATCTCGTCAGTTTACTAGACAGACTGATAATTTTACCAAAATTTGTAAATGTTTCCGAATTTTCCACTTTTGGTAAGAATTTCCTATAACTGAGTGCTGTAATGCCACCAATAGTCAACTGACTGAAGGTACTATAATATCAGGACAGGAACAATTTACTTATGCAAAGATGAAGGTCAGACATAAAATCAAATGCATTTGGACAAAATTTTAAATATTCTCGAAACATTCTGTGCACTGCAAGTACGGTTTATTTTTGCTTGAACTTCTTCTGGTCTAGTTATCTATGGATTGAATAGTAAATAACATTCTGGATATTCTAATTATAGTGAAATACTTAGCATCTCGGAGGTTCAAACAAGATTGCAAATCTACGATCGTCGTGTATTTATGTCAATGATGACCAGTATCAATAATGAATGTTAATATGGCATAACGTTAGTTGCATAACTCTTAAGCAGATGGTACCAACCAACTTATAATATCAATAGTAATAAAGTCTGAATAAAATATACACATCAAAATCCATTAATTTGTTATTTACAAGTTTACAATATATTAGCACAATGCATTCTGAACAGTTTAAACGTAAATTACCTAGTTAATAGGAGGAAAGTGATATGGAATAACCGAGATAATTAAAAAGACAATAGTCACGCTACTTTAGAAAGTAAATTAAAACTAATCTTTTTATGGTAGGTTTAATATCGACACAGCAGCCTGATTTTGAACAGTTAAGGGAGGAAAGGAGGTTTAACTTTCTCATGGTTGAATATACACACTTGAGTACTTCTATAAAACACTACAAAGGTGAATTCTAAATAAATTTACTATCTTTCACTGAATAATGGGTTGATGTACACATCCCCTTTTAAGTGAGTAGTTTTGGACATGTCATACGACTATCATCTGTTAATGAATGTTATTGAGTATCCTTTTCATATAAGTGTTCTTCGATGAGTTTTGTTTCATCTCCGACAGTACCGTTCACGCATATTAAGGCTAATCATATGAAATGGACCAGCAATAAATGTCAAATTATGATGCTGTGGTAGATAATAATCATTAATCTTGATGTAAACTTCTGTATTCAAATCCATGTGATTTGCCTCGTTACAAGGCATTGCGGAATCCTGCTGTGCCGTTGCCTAGTCATCAGTCAGATACATTCCTAAATGTTCATGATCGTCTGTTTTATTGTGGACGTGCATTTAATATGAAGGGGTCATTTGATTTGGAGAGACGTTGCTTCATGATTAGCAAATTACCTGACAGAAAATGGATAGGTAGGTTATCATAGAAATTTCAGTCATGTTATTAGTCGAATGCTATTATTTACAGTTGAAAGACTAAGTTTATTCAGAGATTCATTTTAATAGTATTCATGTCGAAAGAAATACTTACTTACTTACGCCTGTTACTCCTAATGGAGCATAGGCCGCCGACCAGCATTCTCCAACACACTCTGTCCTGGTACTTCTTTTCTAGTCCCATCCAATTCTTTTTCTCATGTTTATCTCCATTTCCCGGTGTAATGTGTTCTTTGGTCTTTCTCTCCTCCGTTGGCCTTGAAGATTCCACGTGAGGACTCGCCTTGTGACTCAGTTGAGTGCTTTCCTCAAAGTGTATCCTATCCATTTCCAGGGCTTCTTCCTGATTTCTTCCTCGCTGGAATCTGATTTTTTCTATACCACAGTATCTGGCCAACCGATCCGAAGTATTTTGCCTAGACAAAAGTTAATAAGAACTTGTATCTTCTGGATAATGGCTTTCGTTGTTCCCCGGGTTTCCGCCTGACACTGGTCTTTAATTCGAACGAATTTGTCAACTGTCCTCCATGAACGATTTTGCAGTTTAACCTATCATAGGAATTCCGTAAGGTGTTGATTATCTTCTCAGGCACGCCGTAGTGTCGAAGAAGCCTCCATAGTGTTGTTCTGTCCACGCTATCAAATGTCTTCTCGTAGTCAATGAAGCTGATGTAGAGTGGTTAATTAGATTCAAATGATTGTTTCAAAATGACCCGTAGTGTTGCGATTTGGACGTACACGATCGATTCTTGCAGAATCCAGTCTGTTGATCTCGAATTTGAGCGTCTACAAAGTACCTCATCCTGTTTAACAATACCCTGTTGAAGACTTTTCCTGGTATTGAGAGAACAGTGATTCCCATGTAGTTCTCACAGTTGCTGAGATCGGCTTTCTTTGGTATTTTGATCAGAAGTCGTTCTTTCCAGTCTATTGGTACCTGTTTCTCATCCCAGATCTTTCTGCAGTTACCGTTACGTCTGCTTTCAGTGCCTCTGAGAGAATGTTGTCTGGTACCGCTGCTTTGCCACTCTTGATTTGTCTGATGGCCATGCTGATCTCTTCAATTGTTGAAGGACCAACATTGATTGTGAGGTCCGTGAGTGCTGCTTCGATGTTAGATGTGTTCAGTGGGGCTGGTCGACCCAAAAGTTACTCAAAGTGTTCTACACACCTGTTTCGTTGTTATCCAATGTTGGCGATTACCTTGCCTTCCTTGCTTTTCACTGGTTGTTCTGGTTTACGATTATTTCCAGCGAGCCTCTTTGTTGTATTGTATCATACAATTGTCTCATGTTTCTTTCCGTTTCAGCTTTTTCCACCGTCATCGCTAGATTTTCCACATATTTACGTTTGTCGAATCGGACGCTCCCCTTCTTTTCAATGCTTACCTCTGTGAATTCAGTTTGTGTCTCGGCTTTCTCGGTTCTGGTTCGGCTGGTATTGATTGCTGCCTTCTTGTTCCTTCTTTTCTGAATTTTATATAGTGTATCAATAGTGATGCATTCCTTGTGGTGGTGCTTCTTGTGATGATCTGATGCTATATCAGCCCCTCTATTGGTCATCACGTCCTCCAGATATGGTCGATTTGGTTTTGCGCAGTATGATCCAGTGAAGTCCATGTGGTTTTGTGAATGCGTTTATGTGGGAATATAGTGCTGCCTATGACCAGTTTATTGAAGGCACATAGGTTTGCACACCTCTCACCAATTTCGTTCCTTTCTCCCAGTCCATGTCGTCCCAAGATCTCTTCATATCCGGTGTTGTGCATTCCAACCTTGGCACTTAAATCTCCCATCAGAATGGTCAGGTCCTATGTTGGGCACTTCTCGACGATTGACTGCAGCCTATCGTGGAACTGATCTTAAACGTCTTCATTGTAGTCGTTGGTAGACGCATAGCATTGGATGACATTCATTGTAATGCCCTCTTTCTTCGTCTTGAAGGAGGCTTTGATGATTCTTGGTCCATGAGATCCCCATCTTATAAGTGCTTCTTGTGCTTGTTTGGATAGCATCAGTGCAACTCCTTGTTTATGTGGAGCATTTTATTCCTCATGGCCGGACTATATAACAGCAGCTCTCCTGAAGCTATCCTTTGTTGTCCAACCTGCGTCTAATGTGTTTCCAATGTGATTCCAAGAATCTCCAAGTTGTATCTTTTCATTTCTGCAGGAATTTGCATGAATCTCCCGGTCTCCCACATTGTACGAGCATTCCATGTACCTAAATTAAAGGTTGCTTTGGTTGTCAGAAGGGGCATCGGCCTCGTGACTTCCAAAGGACCTCGGCTTTCATCATGGGGTGTCATAACTCTGCTAAATGAAGACCTTCTGACTGCCAGGGCAGAGTTTAAGAGGTTTGCGTTATTTTTTTGTGGTTGGTGTGTTTTTAGCGAGTTAGTTTTCTACGGGATGGGGTTGTTAACCCCACGCCCAACCGTCTTCCTTTATTCGAGCTTCAGAACAGGGGTAGCCCCCGGAGGGACTCCAGGCGGAGTTGTCGAAAGAAATACATTACAACCGAATGCTTGACTAATTGAATCGCTCCAAATTATGAGTACTACATGATTGTTTTCACCGTAATTTTAGCATTAATTAATAAATAAATAACTTTCTATATATACAAAACCCAGTTGTTTAGAATCGAAATATATTACCTTCTCGATTGTCTAAAGACATTTCAGCATTGCAAGATGATTGAAACTAATAAATAGAAGGATGCTTCTTCGTTAGAATTAAAGAAATCCACCTTTTTAAACAGAAAACCATTTCATTACTTCTGTGGTCCTTCTTGTGTTAGCTAATGTTGAATATACTGGATATGCGAACTATTTTAGTCTAACTAAAGTTCAAACTAGACGATTATACTGGTATTGATTTTGTTAGAAACATACATATTTAGACTTTTCAAACTTAATATTTGGTTATTAATGAACAACCACTATTTCATCACATGGGGCTGTAGCCAATATTCGAACTTCCGCAAAATTGCCTCCGAATTCAGTAACTGATTACATAATATCTGACCGCTCAACGTAATGACATTTTACTCTAATAAAACCGAGAAATAGTCTCCTTTTTAGTTTGACAGATATTGGGCGCCGAGTATAGAGAAGTCATTATATATGTAAATTATATTTGAAATAATCTCAGCGATTGGAATTTAATGAAGTCTCCACAAGCTTAAACGTTGTGTAAATGAATAAGACTTCCAAATTGATTCTGGCTTATGGAGAAAAGAGCTTCAGTTAGAAATGATTTTCACTTTGTGTGTTAACATTCAAGTTATTTCAAATTTCACTGATTGTAGATATTCATAGTACGAATTTAAGAAGAACTTATTCATCAAACATTCTATTCAGTAATACTCTGATACAAATCTTTTAATTTCTAGACATGGGATCATTTGTTGAACAGATCATAGCATACACAAATCCAATTGGCATATTGTTCAGTTTAGGAGCAAATGGTGAAGGTGTAATGATGAGTAAGGATTTGGAAAAACATGAATTTCCATCAACCCATTCATGTATCAAAACACTTTGAATACGTCAACTGAAATCATCACAGCAAGTGTCGTACCATGGATTTCATCAACTGGATCAATTAACAACACACTGTTTGAGTCATTTTGCAAGATGCGAGTGGCTGAACAATGGAATGGTAAGGGATATGGAATTACGAATTTCAGCGAATTTATCGTCATTCTGTTTAATTGAATGTGCAAACATAAACTAAAACTTAAAACGAATAAACTGATATTGGATTAGTCAGAGTAGAGTAAGATATCTGAAATATTTTGCTTTTATAGTTGGAGGTGCTAGAAGGATTAAGTGAAACAAATGTGAGATAAGATTATGAATAATTTGATAAAAATTTGACATGTGTGAAATGAAAATCAGAATGTTACAATAAGTTAAGGACGCGGTAAGTACTAAGATAAGAAATACTCCTGTTGTATACAAAGTTCAGGTTTCTTCTATTAGATAACTAAAGCTTCTTCTGTATTGAGGATCGTGGTAGATTTGGAAGGATTTCATAAATGGCCATAAGATCAACATATGTGTTAGTTCAATGATCACAATCAATTAAATGTTCAAGGTCTCCCTTCGAATTTGCTGAACCTAACTGAAAAATGTTCGTGCAACCATACAAGATTTTTCGCCATTATATGTGATATGGTGTGTTGTGTTCTAATTATATTGACAGATATAATTAGTATGTATCAGGAACTGGAAGTAGGATCCTTACTGACAGAAGAGAAAGATGAATGGCAAAGAAGGAAAAACAAAAACAGCTGGAGTAGTAACAGGAATGAAAGAACAAAGAAGACTGTAAAAGATAATCTAAGGAAGATGTGCAAATGGTGTTTTCAATGAAATGTTTTACAAATCGCTTTACAAATAAATGCAATGTGTGTATTTCTTTCTTGGTAAATAGTATTGCTCACACTGTCAGTAATTCAGTTCGTCGTACTTCCCATCTTTTTATGTCGCTATTCGAGTCAAATTCTATAGTTAAGTTTGATAACTGAATGATGACGCACTTTTATAATCTACAAACACAAGTGATATAATTCTCAAATTTCCATTGTTTATACAGCTTGAGATTCATTCACTCTTTTAAAATTAAATTGGTAGATGTTTATAAACAGTGTTTATCCATTAGATAATCTAGTTAGTTTATTAAGCATAGAAGAAAACCAGTGGCATTGGTACAAACATGGTATAGTGTATAAACACAAATGACAAATGTTTAATATTTGTGATAATGAACAAACAAATATAAATGTTCACTTAAACAGCTTAATTAAATAGAATTTTGATGATTTGGATATAAAGTTTGTCCATTACAAACAACACATAACGTGGAGATCAGTAAGTAGGTCTCATACTTGATTACGTTCAGCACAGTATAATCTTACTTGTTTTCATATAATTTACCTTTAGTTTGCATCAACCAAATCAATGCCAACCAAATGCTGTTAGCTAATTGGACTTACACATGCCCGAAAATCAAGCTGTTTTAACCAATCAATTTTCTTGACCGGAAATACGAACATAACTTAAACACTGGTGAATTTGAGTCGTGTAAGATCCAGGTTGTATACGATTATTTATTTGTCAGCGAATTTCTATTCAAACTGTTATCTCATTATTCATCGAACAATTTACCTATTTTTAATCAACTATATGCTTGTGAAACTTCAATTTCTTTTGCTTTGATGAAAACGAATATCATTTGAGTACCAAAACAGTTGAAAATCAAGACATTTGGTCAGTTACTCGCCAATTTTAGAACAGAATTTCGAAGTGTGTTCGGTATCAGTGAATAGTTTGCTAAATTTTAAAATTCATGGTGATGTAATGTAAAGATTTGTAAAAGTGCTAAGCAAAATGACTCCACGATTGATGGTAGGCCTAGATTAGATCCTTTGTCGTGGAATGACGGCACAAAATCCATGCATTTGAGTAAATGCTTTACTTAATGAGTGAAGATTTATTATTAATATTAATATTATTATTATTATTGTTATTATTATTGTTATTATACTGTTTTAAAGTCACTATAATTGCAAAAAGAAAAGTGTTATACGTTTTTCCATTCTAAGTGGTTGCAAGAGAGACATCCAAATGTGAAACATATGTAAGTGCTAGTTATTGACCATGTTAGATCAAACTGAAAACTTGTAAAGGTACGTGATTGTGAAGTCACTGAAAACAATGACAGACGAACAATCTCATTTAATAGTTAACGACAATTCTAAAGACCTCGAGTTTATATCTCTTGTTGAAATTGTTGGGATAAATTGTTAAAAAAGTAATGTGGATGTCAGATGTATGTTTTTATTGAAAATCGGTGCTTCTCACTGGTTTTTATCATGGCCAAACTAACCTCACCTAATGTAAAAACATTTAATTTCAGAGTTATTACGTCAACTGAATTTATATCACCCGGAAAATATTTTAATTAAGGGTAAACACAGTCCATTACTATTGTGAAGTCATTTCAATGGATCAATTGGTCTCCGTGCTCAGGTATTATTAAATCCAAAACTTATAACCATGCAGGCGGAAGCTCTATCTTGTCAACATTGCGTATGATCTAGGACTTCAAATAAATTGGAATTGCTTGAAATGGACCGAGGATTGGCTCTAAATGTACAATCACTAGATAAAAGATAAAATCTGACAAAATTCATGTTGATACCCACTACTTGTTATTAAAACCATTTATTGTCCAGAATTCCACTCTTTGTGAAGAATGAGTCTCTCAGAAGTTATGAAATTCGGTTGTGAATGCGTGTTAATTTCTCATATTCTCGACGATTTCTGAACTAGCATATGGAGTATGGGAAGCTTTCGACCAATTAGTTTGTGTATCCGTCTAAAAGAATAATAAGTTTGAACGGGCGAAAACCGTAAGAACCAACTCGTCCTTTGGAAATGTAAGAAACTAAATTGCTCACAAACTCAAAGTAAGAACTTATAATAATAATAAGATCTGATGGAACCTTCTATGTCTAAGATGACTTAACATTCATTCCGAAGCCTTTGGTATGAGCTTAGAACGAGATTTATTGGATTGTGGTTTGCGTATGAATTTCAAATATCCAATATTAAGAGATAAGTTATCTCTTCTATCGAAAGTTCTTTTGGTAACTAGGCATTTAATCTGCATATGTTGCAAGTCTCATTCCCTGAATAAAAACCCTTATGGTTTTCGTATGTATATACATATATATGAGAGAGAATTTATACAAACGCTGATTCTTGAGGTACTCCAGTTCTCAAGGATCTAAAGACAGTCAGTTTGAGATTTAGTCGTGCTCTATTATCGTTTAAGTAAGTTCTTGGTTTTGATGAATAAAATCTCGTTGAAATACATGAAGGCAGTTTAGGTGTGCATGATTTATGAATTATCAGCTAGAATATAGAACATTTCCTGTACTTTGTTGCAAGACATATTTCATTCAGTTCTACAATCGAAAAACGCGAAGAAAGTGTTTATTGTGTATAAAATATGTGCAAACCGTGATACGACGGCATGAGAAGACAAAATTCCATTTCTCACTCATTGTGATTTCTATTCAACATTACTTCTGTTTCTAATTTAGTGTGGTGTTTAGTCGTTACAGTATTTGTTTTATTTTCAATGTGATATTTTGCCAATTATAACAATGGTTTCTGTGAGTGTGATGACGGTATGAGAAGACAAAATTACATTTCCCACTCATTGTGATTTCTGTTGAATATTACTTCTGTTTCTAATTTGGTATGGTGATTAGTCGGTGCAGTATTTGTCATGATTCTGAGCATTTTTCATATATGGCTACTATGTAATCAATAGTCAAACGGATTTACAAACCAATATATAAATGAGGGCATTTTCGACTTTGTTTGTCGTGTTTTCAAATGGACACATGTTCACTCGTCCCAGTCGGTTTTGTTCCTATTTTGCGTTGTGTGAATTGTAGTGGTTCCTCGTTTCAAGTATAAGTGATAGGCAACGAGAATGTCAGAAACCGTATCTCGTAACCTCTGACAGACTGATAAATCTAGGAAAACTACTTCTCGATTAAAATCAGCTTGATCAAATCTATGCAACATAAATTGACCTGAAATAGTTTTGCTTTTTGAAGAAAGTACCAATCTCCTTTTTATCAGAAAAAACAATTTCCTGACGTTTGATGTATTTAAGACGTTTTAGAACGAACCTTCATACAAACTATTCAGTAAATTGTTACCAGGTATTTATATAGATTTTAAAGCCTTTATCTATCAAAATCAAGCTATGAAGCAAAAAAAGTATCTCACTATTGTAGTTAGAATTTCATTATTGATAAAATATATAAGTCACAGATGATAGGACAATTTCAGTAAATCTTTGTTTAATTACTGAAACTTTGGTATTTATGAATATTGTACTTAAGATATTTCTCTCGTTTCTGAAATGTTTACCTAACAGAACTCTTATCTTTCTTCAATGAAAAACATTTTAATTCTGAGTGTGGTCTTCACATTGTTGTGACAACAGGCTCAGCAACAACGCCGATGACCGTGAGTAACGTACTAATAATCATCTCACTCGTATTTTAATATGAGGAATCTTATCACCAATGAGGAATCATACTTTACCAATCTACAGTACCTACACTCTAGTCTCTTACATTTACCAATCTATTTACAGAAGATAACACTGTGTGATCCGTTGATCTGATCCCAAATTTGATAGCCGTATGAAAATGCTATGAACGTAAATATTCCAACACCTAATCTACCTTCGTTTGTGTGACGGCTGTAATAAGAATGCAACTACGGGTTGCTTTGAGTGAATTTATTTCAAGCACTCGTTTACCTAGACAGACATTTGGAATAAAAAGCTCAAAAGCGAAGTGAAGAGAGCGACTGAGCCCTGAGAGACACTGGTTTTACATTGATGTTTAAGAGAAACAGAGAATCTCTAAGTTATTAGCAAACTGAGCTGCACATCTGACTTTTGTTCAAACATACTTTTCGGTTAGACCATCCATAATCTTCTCTTTGATGACATTCAACGTGATGAATCTTCTATCACATAAGCAACGTTTAATTAAAAACCATCATTGTTTTGCTTTCGAACATTCCATTGATTATGATACTCTATAACTCATTCTCAAGACTATGCGCTTTTATTTAAACTCCAACTCTTGCCTTAAAAATTTGTTTGAGACACTTGTAGTGACGTCCTTTTATAAAGAGAACGCCATTGGTGTAATAGAAACAGTTATTATTATAACCGATTGTACCAGGGATTGTTTTACCGTACTTGTTTGTTTAACTGTACTAAAATGCATACATTCTTCCGTTGATTGTGACCTTGCACGAATTCGGTTACGCTCAGTAACCCCACTTGTAACCTGGCACGATCTCGGTATTATTTCGATACCACGAGATCCCCAACAACTACATCTCGACTACAGCCATCAACTGCATACAGGGGATCTTATCGGTTAACTGGCACGTAGTCTTCCTCTAGTGGTGATCATAGTCAACCGCGACTCGACGCCACACTACACACTAATGAGTATTTAATCGATAACACAAAGTACTTATATATACGCATGTGCTTACTAACCGTACACTGACTGGTAATCCAGAAATTCGCTTACTCAGTTGGGTTGTATACGGTGAATTTGAAATTAATCAAATAATGAAAAATCACTGTTCATTTCCAAAAAGCGTCACTGCATTTATGTTACAATAGGTCGATGGGACAAACTGTTGTACATTATAATGTATTTTACTAAATTCGACAAACTATCATCCAATTTTACACACTGTATATATATATATATATATATATATCACTTGTACGATTCATCAAACTGATTGTCTAAACATGATGATTATCTCATTCAGAAATATAATTTGACTTGATATATGAATCCATTTACATATCATTTAATTGAATTGTCTGACTTTCAAACGACTTGGTATATATCACATAGCTTTAAATATCGAGTGCTTTGTTTATAATAATAAAAGTTATAGCAATTCACTTTCTGAATCAATAGTTTCCGAACATCGGGCATCACTTCTCAATGTTCATTGTAGACAAATATTTCATATTATTTCTGCTTATCCGTAACTAATTAATTATTTTGTGAATTAATTACACCAATGAATGTCATTAAACAATTTAGTCCGTTTCTATGAACTTGTATAAAATCAAAATCATTTGAATCAACAAACTTATCTCGTCATTGTACTATGACTATTACCCAGAAACATGTTCGGAGAATATCTAATTAATTACTGATTAACACATCCACTAATTATATACAGACATCATAGATCCTTCATTACAATGAGATAACGGCTAATGGAGAATTTTCATTCTGTGCACTTTGATTAGAAGTTCAATCAGATATTGAGCTTCATGTATAATTTACTCGGACACTTTCTTACTGAGATTAAAATAAAGACTTCAATGAATTCGGAGTGAGACATTCAGTTGTGTGTCTGCTTGATAAATAGGAATACTTCTTCATTACCAATAAAATTCATTGTTTCATGTAATGATCGGAGATTTCAAATATCAAAAGGAGTTTGCATAGTGATCACTGGGTTAAAGAAGAATAGGGAGATGACTATAATATACAGATCAGGAATTCATTCTTCCATATTTTACTACGCTTTGTATAATTACGGACGAGTTTCCACTGATAATACATGTCTAATTGTATTTCCATGCGTAGTTGCTACATGTTATATGTAACATAAACTATGGTTATATCTTTATTATACATTTTATATGAAGCGTTTTTTCATTAATTTTATAACATTTGTTAGACATGAACTTTACAATTAACAATCACTATTCATTGAGCAATGTTAGCTCGATACATCAATCAATTTAATATGAATATTTTACTAAAGGGTGAAGAGATGTAACACATACAACATTGTTAGTTGCAAAAATTTATTGATCATGTTGGGCGCAATATACAGTTGCAGTATTTTTCACCATGAAATAACTCCAGGTTCTTTCATCGGTCAAATGAAGAATGTAGCAATTAAGAAATTATGTTACGCAGAGCAACCATGTTAAACAAGGATAGTGTTTATATACCGTGTCGTCAGTTAATACAACGGAAGTTAAACACCTCGAGAGGAACCAAGTGAGCTTAGATCCAAGGAAGAACTGTCGGTAATCGATAGTTTTACGGCAGAATGTAGTTTGTTACACTGAATTGTGTCTATGGAGCTTTAGTAAATATTGTTCCAAATAAAATATGAGAGTCCGTTAGAATAAATTTCCAGTGGTTTGTCCAAGTTAAAGGGCATCTCAAAACGAATAAATATGTAATCCTTTTCATTTAGATTGCTTTTTTGATGTGAATGTAAGTTGTTACATTATCAGTAGAACGGTATCTTGGTATTGTTAATATGCTGGGAGTTCTTAAAGTTATTTAATGCACGATGTGAATTAAAATAATTTTGTAATGGTCATTTTGCGATTTACTTTAACTTTGATGTACCGCGTGTTTTGGTTTTGAAGAACTTGTCGATAGTTTATTCTGTTGCATGAAGTAATCTATTAGGTACTACATTTTAGTTTGATACTTGCAACATGGTTTGCCACGGGTTCCTATCAATAGTGGCTACCATTGTAGTAATTTTTGGCAGATAGCCTGATGCATCAGGTAGATATGCTATATAAATATCAGTGACATGGATAGAGATAAAAGCATATTTTTAAAAGATCACTCTTACAATTTAACTGCTTATTAAACAAAACATATGGCACACGGTATTAAATTTAAATTCATTAGTAAGTCAGTTCCTCGTGAACACTGATTCAAGCAACCACTTTGTTATGAATGCTTCATTGTACGGTGAAGAGATTAACACCTACAACATTTGGAACCGAGTGAGCTTAGATCCAAGGAAAAACTGCAAATATACGCTATAACACTTTCGGTAATCGATAGTTTAACGGCAGAATGTAGTTTGTTACACTGAATTGTGCTTATGCAGCCTTAGTAAATAGTGTTCCAAATAAAATACAAGAGTGTCGTAGAACAAATTTCGACTGGTTTGTCCAAGTTAGAGGGCATAAAGCAATCATACAACTTGTTTGAAATGAATGTGATCTTTGATAAATACTAATCCAAGTCATTTAAACTGATTTCTGTTTGTGCTTAGCTATAGCAGTTGGAAAATTCTGTACGCTACAATTACCACTTGTTTTACTGCTTTTTATCTATAAAGAACTAAATTAAAAACGGTCTTCCATAAATTTCTTAACCAATCGATGTCATAATGAGGTTTATTGATATATGTACCTTTAAACTATATAAATTTTCCATTATTTATTGAGAGTATACAAATAATTTGTCTAAATCCGTTTATCATAGAAGTTGTTGAACTAGTTGGAAATGCCGTTTCTCAGTACAAGTCACTGCACTATGGAACACAGAGCTCACTTCATGGTTTTGTGTGTCATCAGGGTATCCAGAAATTAAACGCATATTTATTTCTCTAAAATAGTAAATTTTCAACGAATTCGCCTCTCGTAGTCGTCAGCCAAATAACTTGGTGGTATCACAGATAGATGCGAAATTGAGAAAGATTTTCCACTGTAGCGCGATACATATTGTTATCAACTGATATAGTAGAGAGATGTAAAAAATAAAACCAATGTTCCTAATAACGTTGTATCTTCTTTCAATTGGAAGAATGCTGGATTTATAATTGAGTAAAGTTCATCGGCTACTGAACAGATTGATATGTAGTAACGAAATGTCTGAGACAATATATCCAGTTGACTTCCTATTACTTTATCAATCTGTGTGAGGAAGGATTTAGTCTGGAGGGAGATTTTCAATATTATTCTTATGCTTCAGATGACTCCAGTATGTGTTGGAAATCTAATTTATCCTCCACTAAAGTAAGGGTCATAGTTCGATGGTCACCACTTATAGTGTAATTATCAAACAAATTAACAAACTTCTTGAAACTAAATGTTGACACATTACTGATGCTGCAATTTACAAGAATCCTGTTCTTACACAACAAAATAGTTAAATAACAAGCAACAGTCTGTTAAATTCCTACTTAAGCGACTCTTCATTAGGTCAGAATGTGATGCAAATGTGACTAATATGTACTTTATTTTAAAAAATGTCAATTGCAGGATAAGTAGTGGAATAGAAAATTAACTAAATGTTCCATTATTACACACAACATAAAATGAATACATTAAAAAGGCACAAATATTTGAACAAAGTTTGTATCCCGACTGAAAGTAATTGATCGGTTAAAAAGGTTTGATGTTTGGACAGGTGTTAGTCCAGTTTGCCATTAGAAGTTCATTTGCATAAATTGCGTTGATGCATACTATAGGAGATGTATATGAAAACAAACAAGATCAAACGGTGGTCAATCAGTCGATAAACTCACTTTTCAAACTTCAAATCAAGTATCATTTTTAATAGACATATTTTGAATGTTAATAATAGAACTATAAACAAACTTCGATGTATTCACGAATGCGTGTTATATCCACGGTATAACCAAACATATATGTAACAGAAATCTGACAATCCGCTCTAATACTTTCAATAATAATCTCTCTTATTTAAACAATACTAGATAGTAGAACGAAGTCAAATTAGTATACAATGAGTAAAACCTTATAACCATGCAAACGGTGGGATCAGTCAATAGAAATAAACCAATTCAGACTAAAATTTTGTAGTTTATCTGTGTGCACCTCAGTAAAATAATATCAATAAAGTGTTGACATCTTCATTTGAGCATTAAATGACAACGACTAAGTTATGCTCTATTAAGAACTAATAAAGTTACTATTTAACGACAACCGTGTGAATAACAGATCATTCACTCACAGGAAAAGAAACTATCTTAGAATTAAACATCACACATAATGTTATTGTTATCTAGTGCATATCACAAGAGATATGTGTTCGGTTGGAACTGTCATGACTCTCAACCTTGAAGAAATACTGCGTACTCTTAGGTTTTGATGCACACTTTCACGTGGGATAACAGAAATCATGTTTGAAAATCTGGTTACTACTATACATTACTTACCATTCCATTGTTCAGCCACTCGCATCTTGCAAAATGACTCAAACAATGTATTGTCAATTGAACCAGTCAATGAAATCCATGGTATGACACTTGCTGTGATGATTTCAGTTGACGTGTTCAAAGTTCTTTGATACATGAATGGGTTGATTGATATCCATGTTCTTCCCAAATCCTTACTCATTATTACACCTCCACCATTTGCTCCCAAACCGAACAATATGCCAAGTGGATTTGTGTATGCTATAATCTGTTCAACAAATGGTCCGACATCTGAGAATCGAACAGAAATCGGTCGACATAAATTTATGACATTATTTTGTCAAAATAAGCCTCAACAACATTTTCGATGAGCAAACGTTCTTTGTAACTATGTATTTATATGAATCTGCACAACGATCATTCTAAAATACTAAACGCTTTTAGTTATGACTTATTAACATACTTTATTTGTCCTAGACTAACAACAAATTCTCTTATGACAATATGTGTCAGTTCAAGTGGTCATGTATAATTTAAAATAAAATATGAAGAGAATGAACTGTAAATCCTTTTTCCAAGTACAAAGTCTGCCATAATCAGCTTGTGGTGTTGGACTTTAATGTAAAACATTTGTTTTCCTTAGTTATGATGATGTTTGATTTTCTACATTATGTCTTTTAGACTGACTTAGATGTTAAGTCAACAGATTCATGAATGATCATTTTGAATAATCGTTATTCTATTAATTCACAATCTAGTATCAATCGACTAAAGTTGGTTAGCACATCATGAATGTGATAAAAATAGGCCAATAAGTAGAATCGAACAGAGGTGGTACTTGATACTTTCCTGTTACAAAGTAGTAAACTCTGAATATCAAAACGTTGATTATTCTGAAGAAATTATTATGTTTGTCGATTAATCTAGATCTTAGTTATGTGGTGTGGACTACTGAAGTCGACAGATGTAAATAGCATGTGTCATCAATCGAAAGTGAAATGTCTGGTGGTAGAGATTTAAGATCGAAGAAAAGATAACAAGAGTGGAGAATGATTGTTATGGAAACGAAGGAACAATCAAGTATGAGACGATTGATTGACATTTTGCAAATGAAGTGTTTATTTCATGGTTTTCAGATTTTATTATGACATTCTGTAATTTTGTATTGTAATGCATTTGATTGTGCCCACTGGTGTTCTCGTTCTCTACAGTTGGACTAAATCGGTTTGCATTGGAGTATATTCAGTATTGATTTAAACATATGTTTACTCGTTATTGGAATTTCTGTGGTTTTATAAAATTGAGGATTGTATTGTTTGTAATTAAAATAAACGATAACTTTAATAAACATCCAATTAACTTTGCGATTCGGGTGACTGAATGTTTTCAACAGTGTGTTGCTGAAACGGATGAAAGACTCAGTAGACGTCCAACTTCGAGATCAACAGACTGGATTCCGTAAGGATCGGTCGTGCACAAACCAAATCACCTTTCGTGACTATGAGAAGTCTTATGATAGTGCGGATAGTAGAACCATATGGAAACATTATTGACTCTATGGTTAACCTGACAAGATTGTCAATATCACATGGCAATCATGCGACGGACTATAGTGCGAATTGGTTCACGTATGACAACTGACAGATGCATCAGAAGTGAGGACCGGAGTCAGACATTGATGCATACTCTCCCCTTCCTCTTTCTTCTGGTGGTTGACTAGATTATGATCACCTCGACATCTGAGGGGAAGCACGGAATATAATGGACAGTTTGCATGCAACTAGACGATTTGTGCTTCACACATGACCTAACTCTTCTATCACATACACATCAATAAATGCAGATGAAAACAGCCAGTGTTGCTGCAGCCTCTGCATTAGTAGGCTTCAACATACACAAGGGGAAAACCAAGATCCCCAAACACAACACAGAGAACACCAACCCAATCGCACTTGATGAAAAGAAGGCCTGGAGGTGGTGGAAACTTTCACGTACCTGTGGTGTATCTTCGATGAACAAGGAGTATCAGATGCAGATGTAAAGGTGAGGATTGGCAAAGCAAGGATAACATTCCTTCAATTGAATAACATACACAACCAATAACAACTCTCAACCAATATCAAAGACACAATCTTCGATACAAATGTCAATACAGTTAGTTCTATTGTACGGAGCTGAAACTTGGAGGACTACTACAAGCATCATCAAAAGAGTGCAATTATTTATAAACAATTGTCTACGCGAGGTACACAATTTCTGTTGGCTGGACACCATCAGCAACAATCCACTGTGGAAGAGAACAAACCAATTTTCGATTGAAAAGGAAATTATGAAAAGACGATCGAAGTGGATAGTACAGTGTTTGAGGAAATCGTCAGACTGCATCACGAGGCAATCTGTAATTTGGAATCCTGAGGGCAAGCGGAAAGAGAAAGACCAAAGAATCCACTATGTCGGGAATTGGAAGCGAAGATGAAAAGAATGAATAGCAACTAAAAAATGTTGGGAAGGATTGTCCAGGACAGAGTGGATGGAGAATGCTGGTGGGTGGCCTGTTCTCCTACACTAGGTGTAACAAGCGTAAGTATGTAGTATTAAACTTCAAATATCCACTGTTGAATAATAAAACACAACAGATTGTGTATGATTACTTACCAAACCAAATTCTCTCAGGCAATTTACTAATCTTGAAACAACGTCTCACCAAATCTAATGAACCTTTTATGCTAAACGCACGGGCACAATAAAACAAAAGATCACCAACATTTAGAAATGTGTTTGCTTGACGGTCGGGCAACTGTACCAGAGAGTTCCGCATTGCAACGTAATGAGGTAAGTTGGACGGATCTGAATGCAAACGGTCAATACAAGGCAAAGTGTTATTAAATAACGCATCACACAGTCACTGAGAATTATTTTAATTATCCCAAAAATCAATAAAAGGATAGAGAATTCTTTCACAGTAATGTGATGTGATTGTAGATAAGTGACCAATGACAAACATTCTATATCGTTATGGTTGATAATATTCGGGATCATTTTAATAGGTGAGTGTAAGAGAACTGTATGTAGTTACAGTGTAAACATCTTTAGTTGATGCTTCTCAACAGGAAGATGAGTGTTATTCTTTTCATCTTTTCTTTGTGATTGTACTTTACTAGCAGTTTTGTATAATGTAATGAAGTATCAATATGGAAAGCCTCCAAATGATTGGTAACTCTATATGCGGACTAACTCATCTTTTCGCTGAAAGCAATTAACAAGCACCTCACATTTTGAGAATGATTATGATTTCAGTAGCATGAGAAAAATTCAGTAAATTATGATGGCTTGCAAAGTTGTATTTGTATGTGTGAATACTTGGTGACAGTATAATAACTCGTATGCAATGCAAAGATTGAAATCGTTTTCACAACAGCGGAAATGTTAACGATGATAAGTAGAAAGCGATTTATCTGCAGAAGACATTTTTCATTTAAGATAACGTATCCGACATGCAGAGTAAACTTATTTCCTATAATGCAGTCATACCTTGGTAGGTAGTGTTGATTTCTAATCATAAGATGAATTTGGAAAATCATACACTGATAGAACTCACAAGTGTAGTCAAGTTCAACACGCAGATGAGATTTGAACCTGTAAAACTTCTGTCTTGCGCAGCTATTCACTACGGGACTACCACGTTCATAGGGTTTGCACACAATTTCGACCAGAACTGGATATTTCACAATGGTTGTGCTAAGAGATGGATTAAATTTCAGACTAAAGATGACTGCATACTTCGCACCAAAATATAAACGTCCTGCCTGAAACGAGAAAAAATATCCTCAAGTGTTGTTCCAGAGCAAGAGTTGATATATGTTTGAAATTGATGTTTCATTTTGTAATATGAGACGATTTCAAATGATGACTAACGTGGGCATAAAAATCTATTGTAATTTACCTCCTCTATGCTTGGTCAACGGAATTGTACAAACTTTGAAAGTTTCATTAGTACTGTAAACGACAGTGAATGCAGATATCAGATCGATCTCGTGCTCTCGGTTCAGTAAATGAAGTAATGTTTCGACGGATTTGAATGAGTTTGGATGTTTGACGAGAAATACTGAAAATATTTCACAGTAGAAACTTAAAATTTGAAATGACCGTAGTGGTTAAATAGATTTCCCTCGAGTCGGAACTATATGCAACAATTAATGGTAAACAGATATGAAACATGGAAGTGAGGTGTTTTATCTGTCTCCTGTAATACCTACACAGATACAACCTTTGTTTTAGAAAGGTATTCCAGAGTGATATTTCAATTTTAAAATCGAAATCGAAAATGTTTGACTATGACCTAGAAAGTGGTGGAAGAAATATTAGTTTTATGTAGCGATGCGGTTAATCAATGAAATCAAATCAAATCAAATCAAATCATGAAGTGTCCTTAGAATACTTTAGTGATATTGCGGAATGAAGATTACAAACCATTCATGGATAATAGAAACTACAATTCAGTTGACTGAACGTTCGCTAGATCATTTTGTATTTGGTTAACAGACCGAAGGTATGGAAGTTATCCTTTACGTATTTAATGTTCAATAACTATGACGTATACAGCATTTCCTAGTACCTTCTAGTTCATTTACTGAGTGGAGTGCTATGTAGAAGAATGTAATTTTGATTGTAAATTTTATTTCAAGCATTAGATTTCAACGAGTTTGTGTTTTCCATCCGTATGTCGTAATGCGCATCACTAACATATTCATAGGAGAATGCTGATGTTGACCAAGTACAAGTTGATCGCTAAAACGTTGTAATATATCTGATGGAAACAAGTAGTAATTGGTTGGTGAGTTAATATAGCAATGTTTGATTATAATGAATTAAAGTGATTATATTAAGGGTCAAACACTAATATATCTTAAAGCCCAGTCTTAGTAAAATACGAGAACCAACACTAGTAGGTCCACAAATCAAATAATTGCTGTTCAAACTATTATTTTATTTATTTGAACACATAAATATTGGTACAGGAGGGCACCTGACCGTTGTTGCTACCTTGACGTGGTGGTCGGGCTTGCCTATCGTGATGAAGCAACTGAGCTATACTGGCTGGAACAACCGTTCCTCAAGGTCCTACCATGCCAGACAGGTCGGTTGAAGAGCGGTAAGACTAAAAGCAACAAAACCAAGGTCCGAAGGCGAAGTCGTACTGCTGACTGTATAGAGGTGTGACAGCAGTAAGGTGTTTCCTTCAGACAACCAGCATGACAGCGATGCTGCCTTCCCACAAGGAGGGGTGGGGTTAGAAAAGGTCGACCCTAAAAATGCACACCTCGCCTTATCCCATGGATATCCGTCACCGGCGGTAAGGTCTCAACAAGTACGGAGCTAACACAAAAACTACTCATAAAAAGGTCGTGTGTGACCGACCTCAAGCAGCTGTCCCTTGGGCACTGCGGTCACGCTCTCAGGTCACTATGACCAACTCTAATCCAATTTCCTTTTCAGGTACCTCCAGAAGAACCCTTCCACGGTGTGGGCAACCGGGAAGTGATAACCGCCCTCATACCTCTAACAGCACTCAAGACCACTGTATTCATAGTCAACCTCCCTCTTCAATTCCTATTATTCCTCCTACATCGACTTTATACACTAAACTTCCTCTATTAGCTTCCTCCTCAAGTGTCACCACAGCCAACGATTCTAATGCTCAAAACACTGTCCCAGGTCTACTGAAAACTCGCTCCAAACTACACATTGGAGCCTTCAACGTACGCACACTATGCCAAATCGGTCAGCAGGCTTCCTTGGCTAAAACCTTAGAATCTCGTACCATTGATGTATGCTGTGTCTCCGAAACACGCATACAGGATCCTAGTGTGGTCATTCACTTGACCTCACCTCGGCAAAACGGAGAGCCAACGAGATACACCCTCCGTGTATCTGGCGACCCGATGGCTAGTTCTCGTGGACTGGCAGGTGTAGGCATAGCACTTAGCATGAGGGCGGAACAAGCGCTATTAGAGTGGATCCCCGTTAACAGTCGTCTATGCGCTGTTCGGCTAAACGGCTCCGTAAGAACTCGGAAGGATAGGGACACACGTCGTTGCCTTTTCGTCGTTTCTGCCTACGCTCCCACTGACTGCAGTTCGGATGAAGTGAAAGATGAATTTTACAGAAAACTCTCTGAACTTCTTCAGAAAGCTAAACGTTCAGACATAGTACTCGTAGGAGGTGACTTTAATGCCCAGGTAGGTAGCTTAAACAAAACAGAAAGACATTTAGGTGGGTATTTTAGTATTCCGGCACAGCGAACAGATAATGGTGATCGTCTGCTGCAACTGTGCTCAGAAAATCGTTTATTTTTAGCAAACACAAATTTTAAGCATAAGGAGAGACATCGTCTAACATGGCGACCCCCTGCACCAAACCAACGATGGACTCAAATAGACCATATTGCCATCAGTCATCGTTGGAGAGGGTCAATAGAAGATTGTCGCTCATTCTGGGGTACCTGCTTGGACTCTGATCATGCCCTAGTACGAGCACGCATCTGCTTGCGCCTCACTGGACGCAAAAGAGCCACACAAAAAAGACTCATTAGAACCGAATTGAGTAATGAGAAAGCCAAAAGTAGGTTCCAGGAACAACTGAGGTCACACTTAGGTAGTTCTGAAAACGAGACTGACCCAGATGTTGCTTGGAAAGTTATACAAGCAGCTGTGGAAACAGCATTGACATCTACCAGTGAGTTAAACCACAGGGTTACAAAGAACCAATGGATTTCGTCAAGGTCTATTGCACTGATAGATTCTCGCAAACTCATCCCATCAGGTTTTGAATACGATGAAGAGCGTAAAGCAATCAGATCTAGATTAAGCAAAAGTCTAAAGAATGATCGTGAGCAGTGGTGGGCAACGAAAGCAAAAGAGATGGAAAAGGCGGCTATAGGGAATACAAGACAACTCTACAGACTAATAAAAGAAACTGGAATTAATAAATCAAGTGTAAGTCAGACCATTTCGGAAAAAGACGACACTCTCATCTGCTCCCAGTCCAGACGCTTAGAACGATGGGCGGAACACTTTAAGGAGCAGTTTAGCTGGCCTTCAGCTACTCTACAACTACCCTCTATTCCCAGACAGTGTGAATGGAACATTGAAGTAGGCCCCCTAACTCTAGCTGAAGTTCAAAAGGCTATAGCTAATCTGAAACGAGGAAGGGCAGCTGGTCAAGATGGATTGGCCCCAGAGGTCTTTAAGGATGGTGGTCTAGTCTTAGCGATTAGGTTGACTAATATTTTAGCTAAAATCTGGGAGTTAGACGTTATTCCATCTAACTGGTCACAATCACTTATCGTCCCAATATTTAAGAAAGGGTCAAAATCATCCTGTGACAACCACAGAGGGATTAGTTTGACTAATATAGTATCTAAAATACTAGCTTCGATAATTTTCGGACGCCTAACTAAAACTCGTGAGCTGCAAACACGTGAAAATCAGGCTGGCTTCAGACCTGGTCGTGGATGCATCGACCACATATTCACCATTCGTCAGGTTCTAGAACACAGGCATACTTATCGGCGTCCGACAATGGTGGTATTCCTTGACTTAAAAGCAGCGTTTGACTCTGTTGACCGAGAGGTTCTGTGGCAGTGTCTGTCATTGAAAGGCGTACCTCAGAAGTACATAAACCTTGTGAAGGCTCTTTACTCGAACACTACTAGTCGGGTCAGAGCCTATGGCGAACTGTCATCTGCTTTTGCAACCTCAAGTGGCGTCCGTCATGGCTGTCCACTTTCTCCATTTTTGTTTAACTTTATCATAGACATCCTGATGGAAATAACGCTCTCATCGACTGACTTCTCGGGTATTGATCTCCTACCAGGAGGTCCACTTATTGACTTAGAATACGCAGATGACATAGTCCTGTTTGGTGAAGACGCTGATGAAATGCAGAGTCTTTTGTTAGCACTGAGCAACAATGCCAGAATGTTTGGGATGCGCTTTTCTCCCTCTAAATGCAAGTTGTTGCTTCAGGACTGGTCTGCATCAACACCTGAACTAAGGATAGGGAGTGAAGTAGTCGAACGCGTTGACAACTTCACTTATCTTGGAAGTCTGATCAGCCCTAATGGGTTGGTGTCTGACGAAATCTCAGCACGGATTCGAAAAGCTCGCTTGGCCTTTGCCAAATTACGTCATCTATGGCGTAGGCGAGATATCCGTCTATCAATTAAGGGACGAGTATACTGCGCGGCAGTTCGTTCCGTCCTTCTATACGGCTGCGAAACATGGCCTTTAAGAGTGGAAGATATTCGTAAGTTGCTAGTATTTGACCACAGGTGCCTCAGAAATATTGCGGGTATCTGCTGGGATCACCGGGTAAGTAATAGTGAGGTTAGACGCAGGGTATTAGGGAATGATGGTAAATCAGTTGATGAGGTTATGAATCTTCATCGACTGAGATGGTTGGGCCACGTGTTGCGTATGCCTGAACACCGATTACCACGACGCGCAATGCTGACTAGTGCAGGGGATAATTGGAAGAAAGTTAGGGGCGGCCAAACCAAAACGTGGCATCAGTGCTTGAAGTCACTAACTTCTGGTCTGAGTCATGTTGGGAGATTCAGACTGCCTGGTTGGGGTCCGCGTGACTATCGTAACCAATGGTTGGAGACTCTTGGTGACATGGCTCAGAATCGATCACAATGGCGTCGGTGTATACACTCTCTGTCTTCCTTAAATTAAGAGATTAAAGTCGCTTCATATCTGTCTAGGAACTAATTCTTTCTTCCTTTACTATCTCCTTATACACAATCTTTCTTCTATATATTACCACCACTGAATTAACTACTCCTATGAATCCGGTGTTCATCTTGTTGTGCTAATGCGGTATGGCAACTTGGACCAATGCATATACGTGCCTGGTCCTACGTTGCAGCTGACTGACAGGAGGGCACCAAATATATATGCGCCACACAAAACAATGATAATTTGAAGAGGAGAAAAAAAAGGTAATGAACGTGGGGAATTATTAAAAAAAAAGAGAGAGAGAACAATGATAGGGAAAACGGAAAGGTACAATCAGAAGAGATCTTTCAGTTAAGGAAGATACAACCACTTTTTATGAAGAAAGTAGAAGAAGGTTACAGCAGGATCGCTATTGGCTTCTATTCTGAGCCATATCTGATAACGTCTCTAGCCACTGCGTTACACCGTCTCTCGGACCCCAACCAGGGAGTTGTGAAGGACCAACAGAAGCCAGCCCTTTGCAGCTTTCTTTCATACCACGACACCATGTCATATACTGACCACCTCTCCGCTTTTTCCAACCAGTCCCAGGGTCGGCAAATAATGCACGACGAGGAATTCTCTGGGACGACATTCGTAGAACATGTCCAAGCCACCGAAGTCGGTGTTTCAAAATGGTGACACCAATTTCATTATCGTCTCTGTGACCGAACACAGGTTGGCTTCAGGCATTACTGCTCTACCCCAAGTCCAGCAATGAGTACGGCTGTTCAAACAGCAGTACACAAACGTTGTAGTCGCTGAGTTGTCTCATAAAAAATTTAGTAAGCTTGGAAGGAAAGCCGGACTAACATTGTCATGCTCTCCAGGAGTACGGTATGAGTGTAACGGAACCCCTGAAAGTACATAACGTGAATATTTCACCGATGTCACACATAATCTAGAATGTCATATTTAGATAACTCGACGACAGCGACACGTTATTAGTTTGCCGCTTCACCTAGCCACTTGCAAAACCCTTTGGGAAGTTTCTATCAAACCTAAACATTCGTAAACAATCCATTTATGTGAACTAATGATTGTTTTGGACTTGATTCCTGATTGATTTCGAATTCTAAGTATTATACGTCCGTTTGTGCTCACTTAGTGCCATTTGGCTTAAGTCGAACTGTTTCAGGAATTCCTAGTTAATACAATAATTCGGATACTTTTAAATATCATATCACTCCTTTGTATCTCTTCTTTCTAGTAGAGTATATTGTAAGTGCAATTGGGATAGAAACACGTTAACATACTTAAAATTTTCTACAAACAATTATTGGATTCATATTAAGATTCATTATAAAACACTCGTTAATTCCAGAAAATGACACGATATGTACGGCAACCGAAAATAAATGGCGAGAAACTACTGTACTATTCGGCGAAGTTCAGTTACTTGGTTTAGTTGCTGGATTATGAAATAGCCAATAAGTGTATAAGTAAGAGAATAAAGAGGACGAAGTTGGTTATTGTCTAATGACCGGTTATTAATTATTCCAGTCTTGTAACTTATAATATCTGTAATCAATACATTTACGTTGCTTGAATGGACCACGTACTTCTTTTTAGGTGTACATTCTTTAGATCGCCCACGGCTTCCTACTGATTACCAGACATTGCTCAATTAAGTGAATTGGAAACGTATGTAATTTCCATAATCTTCAGAAAAATAAAATGCATCTTACAACCGAACCACATCCACCTTTATTTTCTTAAATAGGCATCTCTTTTTATCAACTTAACTATCGACTAAATTACTCCTGCTTCTTCGAAGTATTACCACCTTCCTTTGTGTTACAGTCTTGTGGAGATCCATCGTGTCATAATATAAACCAAATCCATCAGTCTCAAAGTAGGACAAACAAAATACTGTACGGGAATGCCTACAGTTTGATTATATTAAAGTCAATAACACAATGGGAGATATGCAGATAAAGTACCGTTGTTCACGACATATATAAGAAAACCAAGATATAGCATCAATCCACAAAATTAGCAACCATTTTACAGGGCTACTTGGAGGGGTGGGTTTTCTAGTTTAGATCTGTTTCAAGAATTCAGGTGACACGGATCAAGATAGTCCTCAGATCGAGGAAGTGTACACATTATTTCCGCCTATGAATCTTGAGCTCTACTATTATTTCGTACGTTCCATTGGTTATTTGCGACCACATCCTCTGTTTCCAGTTTTGACTAGCATTGATAACTGTTAATTTCCTCCCGTTATGCTGATGTTTATTTTGCCGAATAAGATCGACACACAGTTGTCCGAATTCTAGGTGTTTACCATAGACTCAGAATTACAGGAGACTGTTACTGGTTTCAGTGGCAGAGAAGTATTAACAACACAAAAACACCAATTCAAAAACGATTAAAATCACAATTTCCGATGCTTCCATGTTTTTAATGGTGATTTAACATTGATCGATTCATGATCTCATGCAAAAACTCAACAATCACTATAACACCATACTGATAACTTATTAGGTATTTATTCAAGGTGATCTATTAGCATTGATCGCTCGCGATTATGCAAGGACTTCACACAGTGGGATAAATTGCTTGAAGGTGTCTAACCTGGGTTTTTATCGGTCGAAGTTCGACGGAAAGATGCCACATCCACTAGCGAACTAGAACTTATGAAGTGATGAAAGAACTACCGACCTAAGTAAGAGTAATTATTGTGAATTGATGCAACGTAACAATACTGCTTGATGTCGTTTATACATGGACAGAAAAAGATTCAAAACCCACAGCAAACCAACTCTTCCCAAACGGAAAAACCTTCAAGACACAAAATAGTATTATAAACTGCCAGCCTTATCAGGAGGACGGAAGCTATCAAAGGTTTTTTCAGACAGACATGGTCCCCTAATTTAAGACGTATTTGATTACAAAAAAGACGTCTGTCGAATGACCTAGGGGTGATTTACAACCAGAGTACAGCTGATTGAGTAAGGAAAACGTTTTACTCTTTTATCTACAACGAACTATCAAGTTCATTCAACTCTCAACATCCGCTTTCAATTCATCATGTAGTAAACGCACTAATTGTTCATTCAAACTTTTATCACTAATTAGAACAACAAAAAGTTCATTTGAATTTCTGTTATTTCACTATTATAATAACCCAAAAAAGTTAGAATATGACTTGATAACTCCTCTCGATACAGTTTACACTTTGAACTGTCAAATCTTTTCTACTTTGCTTTATTTCAGCACATTAAATGATGCATATATATTTGTCTGTTATATAAAACGCACATCAAGAGTTTAGAACTGTTAGAACCCAATAATATAATTAAACAAACTGAAAACGAAGAAATCAAACGCTGAAATGAAAACCATAGATATTTGGTTTAATTTTTAAATTCTAAAGCGGTGAATTGTCAAGTAGTAAACGTTCGTATTCATACAAGTGAGAAAGGAAGGTATTATGTAGCATGAGCATAGTTGGAGAAAAGAAACAATAAATCCTACGTAAAAAATAATACTACACAAAAAAATATGAAGAAATGATGACCCAATTTCCGCCACTTAATCATCCGGAATCTGCCATGACTACTCGTGGTAGTTTCGATGAAGTGTATTCCTGTGTTTCATTTGTACTAAACGTTCTGACAGAACTTTTAGGTACATCGTTTGTTGATGACTGTCGTTCCTTCAAACTGTATGTGTTACTACACGTATTACAAAGATACATATAACCCAAATAAGTATCCTTATATGAGGAATTATAGTAGGTTTGAGATGTTTTCATGAGAGCTGAACGTAAAATACCTTTTAGATTGGATTCAAGTGAAAGTATGCGTGAAATTTTTGTTACGGAATGATCATCTGATGGTACCAACGAGCAGTACTCTCCTACAAGCTATGAAAGAAAATTGGGACAAGCGTTAATAGTACTAAAACAGTATTTGGATATTCGTATAAAAAACCGATGGCGAAATTGTTCAAGTGATTTTCCTACTAGAATAATAAAACTACGGGAAGCGCATTTGTAGAAATTAAAACTGTTGTTTCGTGTTAAACATTTTACCAATGACAGCAAAAAAAGTCTATGTATGATTACACTTTTAATAATGAGGGACATTTCAACCATTCACTCTAACGAATCTTGAACCAACGGCTCACACTTACTTTGCATACTGACTGATGTTTACCACGTTGATTTGGTGTGTGGTCAGTCAGCTACAACATAGGACCAGGCACATAAATGCACCGATCCAAGTTGCCATACCTCATTAGGACACGAAACACTTCAATGGTAGTAGTCCAAGCACAACAAGATGAACGCCGAATTCATAAAATAGTTAATCCAATGGTGGCAATATATAAAAGAAAGATTGCATATAAGGATATAGTACAGGAAGAAAGAATTAGTTCGTAGAAAGACATAAAGCAATTTTAACCTCATAGTTTAAGGGAAGACAAAGAATGTATACACCAACGCCATTGTGACCGATTCTGAGCCATGCCATCCCGAGCCTCAAATCAATGGTCGATATAGTCATACGGACCCCAACCAAGTAGTCTGCAGCTACCAACATGGCTCAGACTAGAAGTAAGTGGCTTCAAGAACTAATTTGGGGTACACGGAATCACCATGCACATAGAAAATTGGGCTGGGTAATACTTACCCGACCGTTGTTGCTACCTTGACGCGGTGGTCGGGCTTGCCTATCGTGATAAAGCAACTGAGCTACACTGGCTGGAACAACCGTTCCTCAAGGTCCTACCATGCCAGACAGGTCGGTTGAAGAGCGGTAAGACTAAAAGCAACAAAACCAAGGTCCGAAGGCGAAGTCGTACTGCTGACTGTATAGAGGTGTGACAGCAGTAAGGTGTTTCCTTCAGACAACCAGCATGACAGCGATGCTGCCTTCCCACAAGGAGGGGTGGGGTTAGAAAAGGTCGACCCTAAAAATGCACACCTCGCCTTATCCCATGGATATCCGTCTCCGGCGGTAAGGTCTCAACAAGTACGGAGCTAACACAAAAACTACTCATAAAAAGGTCGTGTGACCGACCTCAAACAGCTGTCCCTTGGGCACTGCGGTCAGGCTCTCAGGTCACTATGATCACCTCTAACCCAATTTCCTTTCCAGGTACCTCCAACAGAACCCTTCCACGGTGTGGGCAACCGGGAAGTGATAACCGCCCTCATACCTCTAACAGCACTCAAGATCACTGTATTCATAATCAAAATCCCTCTTCAATTCCTATTATCCCTCCTACATCGACTTTCAAACCTAAACTTCCTCCTTCGGTTTTCTCCTCAAGTATCACCATAGCCAACGATTCTAGTGCGCAAAACACTGTCCCAGGTCTACTGAAAACTCGCTCCAAACTACACATTGGAGCCTTCAACGTACGCACACTATGTCAAATCGGTCAGCAGGCTTCCTTAGCTAAAACCTTAGAATCTCGTACCATTGATGTAAGCTGTGTCTCCGAAACACGCATACAGGATCCTAGCGTGGTCATTCACTTGACCTCACCTCGGCAAAACGGAGAGCCGACGATATACACCCTTCGTGTATCTGGCGACCCGATGGCTAGTTCTCGTGGACTGGCAGGTGTAAGCATAGCACTAAGCATGAGGGCGGAACAAGCACTATTAGAGTGGATCCTCGCTAACAGTCGTCTATGCGCTGTTCCGCTAAACGGCTCCGTAAGAACTCGGAAGGATAGGGACACACGTCGTTGCCGTTTCGTCGTTACTGCCTACGCTCACACTGACTGCAGCTCGGATGAAGTGAAAGATGAATTTTACAGAAAACTCTATGAGCTTCTTCAGAAAGCTAAACGTTCAGACATAGTACTCTTAGCAGGTGACTTTAATGCCCAGGTAGGTAGCTTAAACAACTCCGCCTGTAGCCCTCCTAGAGTTACTGCCGGTCCCAAGCCCGGATAAAGGAGGAGGGTTGAGCATGGTATTAGCGTCCCCATCCCGTAGAAAACTAACTCGCGAAAAAAACGCTAACCAGAAAAAATGACTCAAACCATTCAAACTCTGTCCTGAGAGTTAGAAGGTCTTCATTTAGAAGAAATATGACGCCTCAGGGTGAAAGCCGAGTTCCTTCGGAAGCCATGAGTCCGATGCCCCTTCTTACAACCAGAGCAACAATTTTTATAGGTACATGGAACGTTCGGACAATGTGGGAGACCGGGAAGGCCATTCAAATAGCAACGGAAATGAGGAGATACAACTTGGCAGTACTGGGAATCAGCGAAACTCATTGAACCCAAGCTGGACAACAAAGGCTAAATACGGGAGAGGTGCTGCTATACTCCGGTCACGAAGAGGAAAGATATCAAAGAAGCATTAACTTCAACGTGTCAAGAGGCTCTGGGCCCCAAGAAGCATCATCACAAGGAATGGATCTCTATAGAAACACGGAACAGGATCAAGGAAAGAAAGAACAAGAAGACAGCAATTAACAACAGCCAAACACGAGCAGAGAAAGTTCAAGCGCAAGCTGGGTACATAGAAGCAAACAAGCAAGTGAAGAAGAGCATTAAAGCCGACAAGCACAAATACGTGGAAGAACTAGCAACGACGGTGGAGAAAGCTGCAAGAGAAGGAAATATGAAACAGCTTTATGATACAACGAAGAAACTAGCAGGGAAATATAGTAAACCAGAGAGACCAGTCAAAGACAAAGAAGGCAGGCCAATCACTGAGATTCAACAACAGCGGAACAGATGGACAGAGTACTTCGAGGAACTCCTGAATAGGCCAGCACCAATGAATCCACCGGACATCAAAGCAGCACACACAGATCTCCCTATAGATGTCAATCCACCAACGACAGAAGAAATCAGAATGGCCATCAGACAAATCAAGAGCGGGTAAGCAGCAGGACCCGACAATATACCAGCTGAAGCACTGAAGTCAGACATCGAAGTAACGACAAACATGCTTCGTCTCCTATTCAAGAAGATTTGGGAGGAGGAACAAGCGCCGATGGACTGGAAGGAAGGACACCTCATCAAGATTCCAAAGAAAGGAGACCTGAGCAAGTGTGAAAACTACAGAGGCATTACACTACTGTCAATACCAGGAAAAGTCTTTAACAGAGTGTTACTAAACAGGATGAAAGACACAGTAGACGCTCAACTTCGAGATCAACAAGCTGGATTCCGTAAGGACCGGTTGCGCACAGACCAAATTGCGACACTACGGATCATCGTCGAACAATCAATCGAATGGAACTCGTCATTGTACATCAACTTCATTGATTATGAGAAGGCATTTGACAGTGTAAATAGGACGTTATGGAAAATTCTTCGACACTATGGAGTTCCTGAGAAGATTGTCGACATTATCCGGAACTCATATGACGGACTACAGTGCAAAGTAGTGCATGGAGGACAGCTGACAGATGCATTCCAAGTGAGGACCGGAGTAAGACAAGGTTGTCTACTCTCTCCCTTCCTGTTTCTTTTGGTTATTTATTTTATTTTATTTGAACACATAAATATTGGTACAAGGGGGCACCAAATACATATGCGCCACACAAAACAATGATAATTTGAAGAGAAGGAGAAAAGAGAAACAAAAAAAGTAATGAACGTGGGGAATTATAAAAAAAAAGGGAGAGAGAGAGAACAATGGTGGGGGAAACGGAAAGGTACAATCAGAAGAGATCTTTCAGTTAAGGAAGATACAACCACTTTTTATGAAGAAAGTAGAAGGTTACAGCAGGATCGCCATTGGCTTCTATTCTGAGCCATATCTGATAACGTCTCTAGCCACTGCGTTACACCGTCTCTCGGACCCCAACCAGGGAGTCGTGAAGGACCAACAGAAGCTAGACCTTTGCAGCTTTCTTTCATACCACGACACCATGTCATATACTGACAATTTAGACTTCGCAGATGACCTAGCCCTCCTATCGCATACACACGAACAAATGCAGATAAAGACAGCCAGTATAGCAGCAGTCTCTGCATCAGTAGGCCTCAACATACACAAAGGGAAAACCAAGGTCCTCAAACACAACACGGAGAACAGCAGTCCAATCACTCTTGATGGCGAAACTCTGGAAGATGTGGAATCCTTCACATACCTGGGAAGCATCGTCGATAAACAAGGAGGTTCAGATGCAGACGTAAAGGCTAGGATTGGCAAACCAAGGACAGCATTCCTTCGATTAAAGAACATATGGAACTCAAAACAACTTTCAACCAACATCAAAGTCAGAATCTTCAATACCAACGTCAAGGCAGTTCTACTGTACGCAGCTGAAACTTGGAGAACTACAACAACCATCATCAAGAAGGTACAAGTATTTATAAATAGCTGTCTACGCAAGATATTCAACATCCATTGGCCGGATACCATCAGCAACAGCCTTTTGTGGAAGAGAACCAACCAGCTTCCAGCGGAAGAAATTAGGAAAAGACGATGGAAATGGATAGGATATACATTGAGGAAATCATCAAACTGCATTACGAGACAAGCGCTAACTTGGAATCCTGAAGGGAAGCGGAAAAGAGGAAGGCCAAAGAACACATTACGTCGGGAAATAGAAGCAGATATGAAAGGGATGAATAAGAACTGGAAAGGATTGCCCAAGACAGGGTTGGATGGAGAATGCTGGTAAAGTAAGGTAGCTTAAACGAAACAGAAAGACATTTAGGTGGGTATTTTAGTATTCCGGCACAGCGAACAGATAATGGTGATCGTCTGCTGCAACTGTGCTCAGAAAATCGTTTATTTTTAGCAAACACAAATTTTAAGCATAAGGAGAGACACCGTCTAACATGGCGACCCCCTGCACCAAATCAACGGTGGACTCAAATAGACTATATTGCCATCAGTCAGAAGATTGTCGCTCATTCTGGAGTACCTGTTTGGACTCCGACCACGCACTAATACGAGCACGCATCTGCTTGCACCTCATTGGACGCAAAAAAGCCACATTAAAAAGACCCATTAGAACTGAACTGAGTAACGAGAAAACCAAACGTAGGTTCCAAGAACAACTGAGGTCACACTTAGGTACTTCTGAAAACCAGGCTGACCCAGATGTTGCTTGGAAATATATACGAACAGCTGTGGAAACAGCAGTGACATCTATTAGTAATTTAAACCACAGTGTTACAAAGAACCAATTGATTTCTTCAAGGTCTATTGCACTGATGGATTCTCGTAAACTCTCGAAATACTCTCACTTGGCCACGCGTATATAGCCTCTGCCAGGGAAGTCCTACTCATTGCCTTCTCGTGACGGGGGTGTTGTTTACAAAAATGAGAGGACGAAAAGCGAATGTCCGGCGCTTTAACCGGATCCCAAACCAATGGTGCACATGGGCTCCAGTGTCCTGCGGGAACAAATGGCGTATGAACCGATTTCTTGGTCACCGACTTCCATGGAACTGCATCTCCTCACGATGCCCCACTGCCTTGTGGGTTAGACATTCAGGTCGAAGGCTCGGGGTGTGGCCCCCTAAGAAAACCACCTGCCTCGGTTTGGGCACCCGGGCAGTATCACAGCCCTCACACAAATCAATTGAGATTCGTGTGGCGCATATGTATTTGGTCCCTCCTTGTACCAATATCTATGTGTTAAAATAAATAATAATAAATAAGGTTCTGAACACGATGAAGAGCGTAAACAAATCAGATCTAGGTTAAGCAAAAGTCTAAGGAACAACCGTGAGCAGTGGTGGGCAACGAAAGCAAAAGATGGAAAAGGCGGCGGCTATAGGGAACACAAGACAACTCTACAGACTAATAAAAGAAACTGGAATTAATAAGTCCAGTGTAAGTCAGACTATTTCGGAAAGAAACGACACTCTCATCTGCTCCCAGTCCAGACATTTAGAACGATGGGCGGAACATTTTAGAGAACAGTTTGGGATGCGCTTCTCTCCCTCCAAATGCAAGTTGTTGCTTCAGAACTGGCCTGCGTCAACACCCGAACTAAGGATAGGGAGTGAAGTAGTCGAACGCGTTGACAACTTCACTTATCTTGGAAGTCTGATCAGCCCTAATGGGTTGGTGTCTGACGAAATCTCACCACGGATTCGAAAAGCTCGTTTGGCCTTTGCCAATTTACGTCATCTATGGCGTAGGCGAGATATCCGTCTATCAATTAAGGGACGAGTATACTGCGCGGCAGTTCGTTCCGTTCTACTATACGGCTGCGAAACATGGCCATTAAGAGTTGAAGATACTCGTAAGTTACTAGTATTTGACCACATATGCCTTAGAAATATTACTGGTATCTGCTGAGATCACCAGGTAAGTAATAGTGAGGTTAGACGCAGGGTATTTGGGAATGATGGTAAGTCAGTTGATGAGGTTGTGAATCTTCATCGACTGAGATGGTTGGGCCACGTGTTGCGTATGCCTGAACACCGATTATCACGACGCGCAATGCTCACTGGTGTTAGGGATAATTGGAAGAAAGTTAGGGGCGGCCAAACCAAAACGTGACATCAGTGCTTGAAGACACTAACTTCTGGTTTGAGCCATGTTGGTAGATGCAGACTACCTGGTTTTGGTCCGCGTGACTGTCGTAACCAATGGTTGGAGACTCTTGGTGACATGGCTCGGAATTCATCACAATGGTGTCGGTGCATACACTCTCTGTCTTCCCTTAAACTAAGAGATTAGAATCGCTTCATGTCTTTCTTTCTACAAACTAATTCTTTCTTCCTGTATTATATCCTTATACACAATCTTTCTTTTATACACTATTACCTTTGATGTGACTACTTCTATGAATCCGGTGTTCATCTTGTTGTGCTAATGCGGTATGGCAACTTGGACCGACGCATATATGTGCCTGGTCCTACGTTGCAGCTGACTGACTGACCTAACACTGTCTTAGGAATGCACCACGTGTCGCACAAAAAGCTAAGTACTCCAAGGCGCCTTACTTTGATGTAACACTTAATAAAGGTGGAAAACTACTATAGACAGTATAAACACTTCCTTGAGGATTGGCCTTTTAAATAGAGCTCTTTTATGGAAACTAATTTCTAATTTCATATTCAGAAGACAACACTTGGAACTTCTTCAAACCAAACCATAAGCCCAGGACATACATTTTACTACTTCATGGCGTTATGCTCGGGTTGGTACTCTTAAAAACTAAACCAAGTTCTTTTATTTATTCAAGTTATGTTGAGAACAATTGTCAGTTAAGGAGTCATCAGTTTTCCATCTTCGGAAACGCTAGTTTCCAAGAATAACACAATCTAAATACTGTTCGTATTGAAATAAATGTGACCAGATGAAGTAAAGCTAGTTTTAGTTGCTTCGATGGCCGACACTCTACAAGATAACTACGGGTTAACTGTAAAACTACATTTAAACACCATTTTGAGATCTCATAATGCTTGTGTCGTTGGCGACTCATTGATAAACACAGTGTCGACGGTCAATTATCTTGGTGTTACCTTTTCCTCTGATCTCTCTTGGTCTTCTCACGTTTCATTGTTATAGGTTTTCCGTCTGACTTACTACATTAAGAGATTGGGATCACTCGTCATTTACTCCTACAATTTGTCAATTCTTGCATATTACCTATTATTCTTTACTGTTCTCCATTATTCTTTCCCGGGCTTTTGAGAAAAGACTTTGCTGTACTGCGGAGAGTGCTGAAGGCAGTTAGCAAGCTATGTGGTGAATCTCTCGAGATCATAATTAATATGGTTGTGGATAGACATCTAAAGTCATGCAAACTCCTGGCAGGTGTTATTTTATCAGATACAAACCATCCCCTTCACTCATATCTTTCTCCTTGTATATCTTCTAGTAGAACGGGACGAAATTACATTAAAATCCAACCACGCAAGCAAAAGTATAAAAGTTCTATAATACCTTACCTAGCAAATGTACTCTGTGACGAACAGGTTGTTAGAGTTCACCTAGTCAATAATCTGCATTCTTAACATGACTCTAATTGGAAAGTTGCAGTTTTTTCAGATTTTTTTCTGTAAAAGAAACTTGTTGAAATATTTTTGTGCTGAGAATTCTATATTGTACCAAAAATATAATACTTAATAAAGCCATGAACAAATAAAACAAATAAATTATTCTACTCATGGTAGAAGGAACCTGCTGATTGATACTTGCTGGTTATGTTATTGAAACAATCCCCTAACCGAAACATGGCATACACGAGAACTCATAAAAAACATCTGGGTGTTTTGGACCATCTATTTTACCCAATTTAGAAATATTGCGACAAACCCGGTGGTAGACTTTAACTAAATGAATATGAATGTTAGTTCCATGTAGTCACTCGCCTTCATTAAGGTCATAACTTGTTTCGAACCAAGTAATGCAAATCACAAACAAAAAGATAGCACATGACATATTATTTTGTACATCCGTTGGAGGAGTGAGGTAATTACATTGAATTTTAATATCAAACATATAACCGTAACAACTAAACTGATACACAACTCTTGCAACTGAAAGTGAGCGGCAGGTACTGACACCCATGACAAAAGATTCCGACATATAGCTTTAAACTTACCAGGTACTTTTTATAAACACCGAAATTTTTGGAGACGACATCGACACGTTGACCATTAACGTCGATAATGGATTCTTCGACAACCGACACTTGACCTTTGGGAAAAAACTTGAGCAACCAAAACGGTATCCTCTTTGATATTTTCTTAGTTAACAACCTTTTAGTGTACAACCTTCCATCTGATAGGAGATATCTTTCCAAAACATCCTCGGACAAGACGTGCTTTCTAATGGAAGAAACTCAGTAAGTGGTTGGAACATACGCATGAGGGTTAGGATATCGTTTCCAAAACAGTGAGGTAACAAATTCCCAAGGGAATGACAAGTAGTGCGTAACATGGACTGTCATCACAGAGACGGATTCAAATGGTTCAAATGGTTGCGGACGGAATAGAAGAAGCTTTCGCTTAACAGGCTTCCGTGTCTAGTAGCAGTGGATCACCAATACTGCCAGGCAAGAACCTAGGTATATTAACGATAAAAGAGAAAGAAAATGAATTGGTAAATCATAGTAGGATACTATCCTTAGTCCTTAAGAATAGATCAAGTCGCCTCTTAAAGGACTCCTGGGAAGTTGCTTGGACTAGCTCAGCTGGCAGCGAGTTCCAGCATTTGACAACTCTTAAGGAGTAGAAATTGTGTCTGCAGTCCGTTCTACTATGTTGTATCTCCAGTTTTTGGGTGTTACCCCTTAGGTTAGTGTTGGGACTAAGCTTAATTAGGTGTTTAAGAGGGTGTCCAGGTGTGTTAAGGATACTGTAAGCCATTAGAATGTCACCTCTAAGACGCCTATACTCTAATGGGTAAAGGTCGAGTGATTGGAGGCGCTCATCGTAAGGTTTAAATTTGAGTCCCCGAACTGATTTCGTGGCTCGCCGTTGGATACGCTCCAGAGTGTCCTTATCCTTTTGGAGTGTAGGAGGGAATACTATGTTCCCGTACTCTAAATGGGGACGAATGAAACTATTGAAGATTATGTGAAAAGTTCTCCCGTCAAACTGACCAAAAATGCGCTTCAATGTTACCAGTGCAAGGTTTGCTCTAAAGGCATTTTTGTCACAGTTGGCGTAAGACTTTAAGTCGTAGGGCACCAGAACTCCTAAATCTTTTTCGACTCGGGATACTACTAGAGAGGAGTTTCCTAAGTTGTAACTGTAATCTGCGACGTGTCGCAGATGGACTACTTTACACTTTGAAGTGTTAAAGGTAAGTCCGTTATCATCTGCCCAACTTTGAAGTCGAGTCAGATCCTCCTGAAGTGCCTGTATGTCCTCTTGGTTGCGTATCTCTCTCCAAAGTTTCACGTCATCGGCAAAGAGCAGTATGTCTGACGTTACCTGTTGAGGAAGATCATTTATATAAATCAGGAAGAGGAGAGGTCCTAGTACTGAGCCCTGGGGGACCCCACTAGAACATTCCATAGCGCGTGAGAAATTGAAGTTTACCCTGACCTTAAAATGTCGACTTGTGAGGTATGAACTGAGCCAGTCAATTAAAGGTGGTTTGATTCCCAATTGTTTGAGCTTGTTAATAAGACATGTGTGGTTAACCCTATCGAAAGCTTTAGAGAAATCAAGGTAAATGATGTCTACCTTCCCCTTGCGATCAACGATGCTTGTCCATCTGTCCACCGCGGTCAGCAGGTTCGTCATACAGGAATAACCCTTCCTGAAACCATGCTGTTGGGGTGAGAAGAAATTTAAGGACAGCAGATAGTCATGTATATCATCGTATACCAGGGACTCCATGATCTTTGAAGGTATAGAGAGAAGGGCCACCGGTCGGTAACTTGAAGGTTCACTGCGTCGACCTCCTTTGAAGATTGGTGTGATATGAGCCAGCTTCCAAATATCCGGTAGTTTGCCCCGACTTAGCGAGTGTGAGAACATCACGCTAAGCGGTGTTGCTAGGATTAAAGCTGCTTCCCTCAGTATAGCAGAGTGGACCATATCTGGACCAGGAGAAGTGTCTGTTCTTAGGTGTTGTAGTTTACGGTACACCAAGTCAGCACTCAGTTTCACTACGGAAAGTCCTGTGCAGTTGCAGACAGAGCCGACATCAGTATAGTTGATGTGGGTCGGCTGAAATGTCCGGGAGTAGTGCTCAGCCAGAAGGTTAGCGGCGTCACCGTCATTATCTGTCGGGCCGTTAGGACCTAGCAGTTGAGAAACTCCAGTTTTGGCTTGACGAAGAGAGGCTGCATAACGGAATAAGCTTTTCGGATTGGAAATAAATTTGTCCATAAGCTTTAACTGGTACTGAAGCCTGTCTTCTCTTATAGCCTTCGTACATATGTTCCTTATATGTTTGTATTGCCTGTACTCGCCGTTGTTGTTGGTTCGTTTGTATTCTGCCCAACAGTGCCTTTTACGGCTTAGCAAACGAAGAGTGCGTTTTTTGATGATTGTAGGTTGCTTGTGCCTTTTGGGGACCGTTTGAGGAACTGACTGCTTAGTAGCACATGAGAGCGTGCGCAGTAAGGAGTCCCAATGAGCATCCACATCAAGTTGAGGTTGAACATCCCAATCCACCTGTTGTAGATAATCCTGTAGAGCTGACGTATTCAACCGTTTGAAGTTCCAGCGCCTGTTGTTGTCGGGATATCTTAGCTCTGTTTTGCTGACGAAACTGAAGGCTATAACGGCGTGATCGCTCTTCCCCAGGGGAGCCAGAATTGAGAGGTTGTCGACTAGAAATTCTTCATTTGTAAAAACACAGTCTAAGCGCGACGGTGTCTGACCGTTTCTCCAACGAGTGTGCGACTTCACATTTTCGTGTAGTCCCAAGTCCTCAATGAGGTTGAAGAACCGAGCTTCGATTGAATTTTCACCTCCAGTATACGTATGTTCCGCGAAGTTGACTCTAGGAAGATTGAAGTCCCCTAGAATCAGGATATGAGTAAAGCCGAGACGCGTAGAGCGGGATAGTCCCTGCAGCATGCGACTGTCATACTCGATGTCGGCAGTGGGCTTCCTATATATGACTCCGACTAAGCACCTCGAAGTAGTGGACAATCTCATAGAGCACCATAGGGATTCCTCAAGATTGTCAAACTCGTGGTTGTGGATTTGATGTACCACCAGGCCAGATCTTATGTATAGGGCTACTCCACCCCCAATTCCTGTTTTTCTGTCATTGCGAAACAGAGACATCCCAGGTATTGCTAGCTCCTGGTCCGAATACTGAGGAGATATCCAAGTTTCAGATATTCCTATCAGATGAACTTTATTAGCGTTGCTGAGTTCACTTAGTTCATCCATTTTATTTGGTAGACTCGCGGCGTTCATGTATAAGCAGTTAATGCTTTCAATTTGAAACGCGTGAGCTTCTTCCTGTTTATCTATGAGAGCCTTGCGTGAGTGGACAGGTAACCCACCTATATAAGTTTTGTCTAATTGGTAGGCCCTGTCCTTTACACGTTTTTTTTGTCTTGAAGACAGTCCACAAGTGGAATGGTCAGTTCCAGCTCGCCTTTGTGCTTGATCCTGGCGTCGTATGGCCTATCCGGGTGCATATGGATCCCAGTTGGCAACCGACGTCTGTTGACACGAAATGCTTCCAGAGTTGCAGCCGCCATATGGGAGGATGGAAAAGTTATCCTCAATAGTCGGGGTCTAGGATCCCCATCCTTCTTGGCTAGTCTCATCACATGCTGAGACAGTATGTTTTTAAGCCTCAAGGACTGTTTGATGAATTTCCATTCCCGAATGTCAGAGTTTGCTTGAGTAGGGTCCATGTTTTCCGGTACACCTTGCACGATGATATTTCTTCCGCGGAAAAACTTCTCTCGAGAATCTTTAGGGACGTTTCGGATGAGATTGCGCTCAGAATATGGTATGTTAGGCAGTATTCTGACGTTCCCATCGGATTTCAGTAGATGACTGGCCAGCAGGACATCCTCTACTTCGGTAGCATTCTTGAGTGTTACACGGAGTAGTCTCGGATGATTTTGGTGTTTAGAATCCTTTCCCCGAGTGAGCCGTGTGACCGTCAAAGGCTCTATTCTAGGGAGTTCGAGCTTTTTGTTCAGTTCACCCCAAAGCATCCTGTCATTTTTGTCCTGCAAACTGAGAGGAAGGTCAGGATTGTCTATGAGGTTCATGATTATGAGGGAGTCATCACGGACCGTTGTTGTTTTCCCAGCTCTTCCAGTGCGTTCAGATTCAGTACGTTGTTGTTTGGAGGTCGAAGCAGGTTTTTGAATCGTAGGCTTTTTAATAACCGGGCGGACATTTTTGGGGGTAGACTGAGCGATCAAAGCACCAGTTGATGTCCGTACAACACTTGGGATGTCAACCTTGGACGGTGACACCTGGTCCTTATTAGCTCTGATGGCGTGGTTACAGTCACCTGCCGAGTTTTTAGGAACCACCGTTGCGTTTGAGGACCCTGAACTGGGAGATCCAATTTTAGTGAGGGAATCAATTATTGTCGACGTAATGATGGTGCTGAGTTTCAACATGTCATCATTAGTGCTAATGCGCGTTCCATCGATGGTTGACTTGTCAACATCTCTGTTCTTATTTTCGTTACGCGCCCTCGTTTGCCTACCTATTTTATGGCTATCTGTTTCCAAGTTTACTGACAATTTGTTCCGCAGACCTGTCAGTAGAACAATGATATTGCTCAGCAGCACTACAGCGTCCGTGTTGCACGTGACGCACACCCACTTACGGTCCGATTTGCTGAGTCTTTTGTAAGCCGTTGCCGTAAGATCTGTGCACGTTTCGTGAAACCAACCTTTGCAGTTGTCACACTGCATGCCAGATGTAACAGCGAAACGGCATCCAGGTCTTTTACATGAATTTTTCATGGCTGTATTTACGTAAACTGTGCTTAAGACCGTTAAAAATACACTAAAAACCACACTAAAACGGGAAAAATGTATAAAAACGGATGAGATAAAATGAAATAGCCTTTACGTGAAAAACTGAAAATAAACCGAATAGTAAGCTGAGGCAAAACCGCAGTTAACTATTAAATTGGGTGAAACTCAAAAAAAAGTAATCTACCGAACTTGTAGCTCAGAATAGATTGTTTAGATCAGAAATGGTACTTTTGTTGCGTAAGAACACAGCAAAAGTTTGAGAAATGCAAACCACGTTAGGACTAAACTTCCCGTTCGAAAAGCGCGCGAAGAGGATGACGCAAGTGCTCGTAATATGCGCCTAAGTAAGTATTTAAGGTGATGATCAATGGTGTTTAGGATCCTATAAGTCATTAAATGGGATCGAATAAAACTGTTAGGGGTTAAGTGAAATTTCCTGGCGTCAAAATGGTAAAAAATGCACTTTGGTGTTAGTAGGTCAAGGTTTGCTCGAGAGGCACATTGTCGCACTTAGCGTAAGACTTCAGATCATAGGGTGACAACACTGTTATGTCGTTTTCAACCCGTGATACCCCTAGAGGGAAGTAAGCTAAGTTGTATGCGTAGTTTGCAACGTATATCAGATGGGCTTTTCTATACTTTGAAATGCTGAAGTTAAGTCCGTTGTTATCTGCCCAACTTTGAAGTCGAGTCAGATCCTCTCGGAGTGTCAGATAGTCATATTAGTGGAAAAATTCTCTCCAAGGTTCTATATCATTTCTGAAATTTGATGACTCAGAAGACACTTGCTGAAGAAAGTCGTTTATATCAGTCGGACTGTATGCTGATTGTCATCGAAATATACATGTCACCAATCATCGTATATAATTGTCGATTTAATCCTCGTTAATAAACAACGGAATTAAATTAGTCAAATGCATGTGTATATTTCATGCGCCCATTGATTCGGACAGATAATCAAGGAAACGAAATGAAGAGGGGAGTGGGGACGGATCGGAAAATGCAGGTGAGCCAGTTTAATTTAATCAGGCTGTAAGGCCAGTGAAATGTCACTGAGCCTCAACCAAATCATCCGGCAGATGGGTCACTGAATATCGATTAGATCGTCGATCCTTGTCAAGGTCAAAGACAACTAACGTGCATCAATTGATCGTATGTCATGAACTGGCGCACGCTGTGGTGGTCTCGCTGTCATCTCTGTGCTCATTCTTACTAATATATTTCCCAAATAACGTTCTTTGTGTTATACGGTCTTCAAAGCAGCAGCAGTACTTTGATATGTCGAACGGGTAATCCACGTTAGATGTTGACCACAAAGTGTAACTTCGAAGTTAGTTGGTTCGTCACACCATTCCCGTCTAACTTGAGCAGGCCTCCAATCATTCGACATAGATCATCTACGTTGGTGATCTACAAAGCTTTGCTCAATATTTATAGTGATGGCATAAATAAGTTACAGACATATAATAATTAAAATAAGCAATCAACACACGACCATGTAGAAACAACCAGGGTTAATAAGCCGATAAGTGACATGGTCAAAGTGTGGCTTAAAAATAGATCGGTCTATCCAAAAGCTAGAATAGCCTATGTGTGTAGCAAAGTGTTTGTGAGCGATAATCAACAGGTCATGTTATGTGTGTTTACAAAGTTTAACGAAAGTTTAAGTGTCTTATAATGATAATCTTGCAAATAGTAATAGTCTATGAAAAATGCAAATATTAATAAGACTAATTACAAAAAGGTCTACTTTAAGCACCCCCACAATCCTAGTAATAAACACCGAGGAACCCCACTACGACATTCTGTAGCCTGAGTAAAAGTCGATTATTCAGATATAGAATAAACCAGTCTTTTAACAATGGCTTAACACACAACAGCTTTGGCTTATTGATAAGATCCATTTGATTGACCCTATCAAAAGACTTTGGGAAGTCAAGGTATATAGCATCAGCCGTCGCTCTATGATCAGGAAAAGTTGTCTGTCTATTAATTACAGCCAGCAGTTTGACGATACAAGAGTGACCCGTCCTGAAATTGTGTTGTCAAGGCGAAACGAGGCTTATGTAAAATAAGAAAACCCATAAACTGTTGCATATCAAGGTCCCCATAACTTCTGTGGATAGTGAGGTGATCGCTTCTGGACAGTAGCGCCTGCACTAAAATTGGTTTACTATTAGTTACTCGTAGATATCAGATACAAGCGCAAGTGCGTTCTGCTTAAACGAGCTTTTCTGCTACATGGGATTTTATAACCCTCCTCATGTTTGTTCTTAAGTTTCGCATACAGTTCAACAAGAACCATGACAGGAAGCTATCTACGGTTTATTATTCTCCATAACATCATGGATAACCCTCTTCCATCAACGATTCAAACTAATAATGAGTGTCTATATTCGGTGGTTAATTCCGCTAGTAGCTTGTCTAGAGTTAATTCCGGTCCCAAGCCTGGATGAAGGAGGAGGGTTGGACCTGTTCTGACATTATAGCCCACTAGTTATCACGTAATCTATTCGCTAATCAAAATACGACTTAAACGTTCTTATAATGTACTAAACCAATGACATTCGACCGGTCTGATCAACATAGCGTCCTATTGGTCCGTTGCTTGCCAGGCCCGTCCAGATGAGTCCAGAATGCCAATAAAAGCCTCCACTATGCGTATCATTTATTTCAGACATACCGTATTTATATAACAACCAAACAGACCGCAACGCACCAAAAAATAGGAAATAACGTTCGTACACAATAAAGGCAAAAAGAGGCTGTGAATGTGAAAGACAGTATTTAATAAACTGAGAATAAGTTAAGAACAGTAAAGCGTATAATGATAAATTACAAGTCAAAATGAAGATTATGATAAGAGGAATATAAATATACATAATCTAATTATTTAATAGTTATACAATAAGGATATTTATAGAATATTAGTTCATTAGTAGTCCTCGGAAGTTACCCGTAATTTAATATTCACTAGGATATAACAGGACCTGTTGTCACCAACCCAATCCCGAAGAAAACAATCTTGCTAAAAAATGTTAAACAGAAAAAACAATTAAACTCTACCCTCGAAGTTATAGGTTTTCCATTCACAAGAATAAATATGCCTCATGGTGAAAGCCGCTTTCGACGATTATGTAGGTACATCGAATATTCGAACAAAAGGGATCATTTTGAGGACTAGTAAAATAACAACGGAAATGTATAGATACAACATGGTGGTTCTCGGGATCAGCGACAAACATTATACCCAAGCTGGACAAGAAAGGTTAGATTCGGGAGTGATGCTGCTATATTCCAGCCACAAAGAGGAAAATGCCCCACACACTCACAGTGTTGCTCTACGGCACGAAATACATTTATAAAACGGGAATCTCATGGACCCAGGACCATCTAATCATCCTTCGAAACGAAGAAGGTGAGAATCACAATAAATGTTATGCAACAACCAATGATAGCAATGAAAACGATAAAAATCGGTTATATGAGAGGCTGCAATCGATCATAGCGAAGTGCGCAGGAAAGTACCCGAACATCCTGGTGTGAGATCTAAACACCAAAGTCGGAATGGATAACACCGGCTATCAAGACACCATGAAACGACATGGACTGACTGGGGGAAAGAAACTAAAATGGTGATAGATTTGTAAATTTATGTGCATTCAACAATCTGGTTATAGGAAGCACAATATTCTCACACAAATGCACACACAAAGCTACATGTATCTCACTGGATCACACCATGGAGCACCAGATAGATTATATTTGTATCAGTAAAAATTTCACAATGTCAGTGGGAGGCGTGAGAACCAGGAGAGGAGCTGACATAGCTTCAGATCACCATCTATTGGTTGTTATGATAAAACTAAAGATAATGAAACACTGAACAACTGGGGGGACAGCATTACAAAGGTTCAATACAGCCTCCCTTCGACATACTAACTAACTCGACGAACTCAATATAACTCTCAACAACAGTCGAACAAGAACAGAGAAAACCAAGGCACAAGGTGAATACACATGAGCAAAAAATTTGGTGAAGTGGACCACAAGAACTGACAAACAGAAATACGTGGAAAACCTAGCATTGACAGCGAAGAAGGCTGCAAGAAAAGGAAACGTGAAACAACTATATGGCATGACGAAGAATCTAGGAGATAGATATAGTAGACCCGATCGACTAGTCAGGGACAAAGAAGGTAAGGTAATCACCGAGATTCTAGACGGGTGAGACAATTCGAGGAACTGTTGAATAAACCAGCTGAATTGAATCCACTGGATGTGGAATCAACACACACAGACCTCCATATAGATATCACTCCACAAACAGTCGAAGAAGTCAGGATGGCCATCAGACAAATCATTGATGGAAAAGCAGTAGGACCTAACATTATACCAGATGAAGCACCTAAGTCAGATGAAGAAGTAACTGAAAGTATGCTTCACGTTCTGTTCAGGAAGATTTGGAATGAAGAACAAGTGCCACCGACAGACCGGATGGAAGGATACCTCATCAAGATACCAAAGAGAGTAGATTTGAACAAGTGTGAGCACTACAGAGACATCACACCACTGTCAGTATGAGGAGAAGTTTTCGACGGAGTGTTGCTGAACAGGATGAAAGATTCAGTAGACGATCAACTTCGAGATCAACTTTTTGGATTTGTAGGAATCGGTCGTGCACAGACCGAATGATGACACTAGTGATAATCGTTGAACAATCAGTCGAGTGGAAATCGTCACTATATATCCAATTCCTTGACTATGAGAAGGTGTTTGACGGTGTGGCTAGGATGACTTTATGGAAACATCTTGGACATTATGGAGTACCTGAGAAGATTGTCAATATCATGCGGAATCCATATAACGGACTACAGTGCAAAGTCGTGCGTGGACGACAGCTGGCAGAGGCATTCGAACTGAGGTACTTAGTCAGACAAGAATGCCCACTCACCCTCTTCATACACTTCACTAATCTTGTTTACCAAATTAGAGGTAAAAAACACACAGTCCTCCAATACGTCTGATCACCCACGTATCAAAGGCAGTCTAAAACTTGATATAGGCTATATTCTGTGCATCTTCCGTTACTTACCGTACCTCAAAGCATCAAATCTCACTTATAAAATAGGGCAGTTCAAAAACCACACCATGAGTTTTAAATATAAACGAGGTGTTTTCAAAATGATTTTGCATAGAAGTGAAAGCTATGTTCCATGAAATTACATGATATTTTTTTGTACATTGTTCTTGTTTGTAATATCTATTACCAAAGGTAAAATGTCCGTTGCATCAGCTGCTTCACGCGTCAAGGTCATTTCCACTTGGCCAATCAGGTCTCGGATTCTTCTATACCTTTGTTATTAAACCCGGTTCACAATCATCCTTAGTCTGCTCGGCACAATGATTGTAACAAGCTCAAGGAACACCATGGGGATCTTTGGAGCACCGACCAATAATGTAACAAAGGCAGTGCTTCCATCTGTCAAGTCCCCCAGGAAAGGTCGTCGTCTGAAAAAACGTCTGGAAGTTTGCGAGACAAATTCGGAGTCACATCAAGAAATCACTCCTAGTCATTATAGAACTTTTGAGAATGACCTTATTCCTGGCCGAAGTCTTTCATCACAAACCTTCAGTCCTTGCACACCAACACACTTTTCAAGCATTCGCTACCAAGCAGTAAGTTGATATAGCCTTCTGTACAAGTATTAGGTTTACTACGCTATTCAGGAAAAATTATTCTCTTCTTTGTCTCAAGAAAAATTACTTTATATTGATAATGAGCATTTGTTATGTGTGAACTCAGTAAGCCGTCATTTTTGTACGATAATATCTTCAGGATTTGGATGACAAAGTTGATGCAGCATTGAGAGCAGAAACTTTGTTCAAATTGTGGTCCTTACATAGCGCCTATTATTCGCTTTCCTCAATCATATTCTGCAAGGCAGTGTGTTTAATGGATTTACTGGTTGCTAAAGTCAAAGTAAGCTTGGAATTTATTTGTATATAATGATTATATAGGTTAAACCAAAGTACGCAATGTGCGTGGCCGCTGCATGCTACTATATCACTTCCAAGTTCGAGAGATCATCCGTAAGTATTTTTTTAAGAATTCAACGGATATGTATACAGGCGTTTAAATGTCTGATGTTACAGTATTTGAGGGCGCATGTATTGCAAATTTAATTATTGCTTCAGTTATTAAACTCCATTATTTTTAAGTATTTTGCGCAAAGCATGTTTTCCTGAGAACCATATATCACAATCGAGTTGACTGGTATACTTTGTTTGTAAAACCTTTGCTTTTTCTGTACGCTTTCATTTCTGAATCCTCCCAACCAACCTTCCGTTTCCATCAAGTAGACCCGGCGCTATCTCATTAGACACCTGCTCGTTTCCTTTATGATAGATCAGTAAAATATACAAAGGGATTTAGGATTACTGTTTTTTGTTAATAAATTCTGGCCGATTTAGACGTGCGGCTATTGCCATCTGTTTTGCTTTTGCATGCTGGCGTTACACTTACCCATAATTGACCTATGGTCGGTCTCATACTTTTGTCTTATGCTGCCAAATACATCTGTAAAAACTTGGAATTATTTTGGTTGTTACTGCCTTCAGTTTCTACCAGTATAAAGCAGTTCAAGATTAAAGATCTAAATAACATGGTCTTATTTATTTATTGATTTACGATGCTAACGATGAAAGGTGGTCAATATTAGTATGGTGACAGTTCTTACGTTTCATTTTGTTGCTCATTTTCATGTTAATTTTTCATGTAGTACCCGAAGTTACGATCTTTCACATAATATAATAGATTATTAATTTTGAGCCTCGTTTTTGCATCCACTTGACTTATTCTAGCTCCAGAATTATCCCTTATGACAGTGAGACAGTTTCACCTGACTGTAGTTTATTGCGTAAATTTCAAGAAGTTTGCTGGTTTATTCTTTACTGTCTTAACTTTATTGTATCAGTGTCGTGCTATTTTGTAGGAACACGTTTCACCCACACCTGAAAGCCTTGTAACACTATCACGATGTGGTGGCACAGCTGCTGATCTGACGCGAATGGTGGAAATTATCCTTACAAAGTTGGGGCCCTCCAGCGTCGCTGCTATCGGTGCATGCTCGGCTACAGCTATTGATTTCCTGTCCATTTTCTCCTCGTTCGGCATCCCGTTTGCGTCTTATCAGAATGAATCTAGAAATCAAAACACTTGGTTGCCTGTCCCTATTTCTATTTGTCGTCAGATCGAAATAGCTCTAGCCTCCTCAGAGGTATCGTGCTTTCGTCCTTCGTGCCTAGCACTGGCTTTGCTCAATCATCTTTGTTTTAATTCAACTGTGGGGTCACTGGGTTCAGCTGACGATTGGTTGCAGTTCCATACGTCTGACCTCTATAACTTGTCACTTATATGTAACGTAAGTAACTTTAACGCCTAATTTATATTTGTTAAACAAATTTCACTTCATAAATTCCCTTCTCATAACTTAGAAATGACATCTTGTTTGACCAATGCATTTTTTAATAGGCAATAAGTATATCCATAATAATTCCTGATTATGGTGGAAATATTACTTACATATGTTTGGTGATCTCTCTGACTACGGATATATATATTATTTCCTGGCTGCTCCTAACAGTCTACAACTTTCGTTTGTTTTTAACTCACATTAAGTAACCCTACAAGTTTTACACCATACTTATACTCAACTTTTTGGATTTTGGAAACAGCACATTAAACAATTTCTAATGGTTAATAATAATATCAGTTATCGTAATCTACTGAAATATACTGCCATTAAAAAACCAAGTGCCCTCATCGGCAGTCCCACATTTGTTTTGAGGTCTGCTGGTCAAATGATCTTACCAAACAATTACAGTTAATTACAGGATAGCTGTTACAAGTGAAATAGTTATTTGCGAAATCTGTCTTTTACCAATGTTAAATTGCTGATGTTCTTTTATATTTAATTGTCATCAAATCATATCGCGAATAATTGTGATTTTACTGTTGAGAATGCACCCTGAAAGCAGACTCGAAACAGATTATTATCAATGTGTTCGCAAGTCTAGAACCGATTGGTGTTTTACAGTAGCTTTTTGCTAAAGAGATGTACTTGTAATATTTAGTAACTCTTATTCCCAGGTTGAGTCGCTTCGCATTTTAGGTGCTGTAACGTATGTTGTATTCCAATCTTATCAGAATTTTCACAAACGCTTTGAAGAAATAGTATGAAGCTTAGCGGGAATACTAAGGTTGGTAACTTAATGGTCGAAAAACTCATTTGTAGGTTGTTGATACTAGTTATGATTTAACCCATTTGTATGCGTTATTTCCATTCTGGAAGTTAAACAGCTACTTTTTCCTTTACAACACCTTGTACATAATTATCAATCATGGTTTTTTTCCAACTTACTCCTACACCAGCAAATATCGTGCGTCTAGGTATGCCGTGGTTAGATACCTCAGTCAATGAATGCTTACAACTCCAACCAATTTTCCATCTTCACCTTACGTCTAACGTCAGCAGAGGAAAGTGGAAAATAGGCTAGCGAGATATATATATATAGATATATATAGAAGAAAACCAAAGATTATCTTACTATGACAACTGGCACTGATTCTGAGTTTTCTAACTTCTAGTCTTTGACTGTTGACGAACCTCAAGCAACAAGTCTTTTTACTGTTTGGACTAACGGTCATGGACATATGATATGTCTTTGTTTGGGAGCCATCACCATTATATTCAACCTTCTCTTTTGAAGGGCGGTATAATGCACCAGGATAAACTGTCTTTAGATGCTTTTAGAGTAAATCGAAGATTCACTTCACAAATCAGTTTGTTCAAATGAGCACTCAATTCAGTTATTTCCTGTAAACACAACATAAATTATAAATAGACTTACCATAAATTCATATTCAATTTCGAGGAAATATTTAGCTAGATCCGGTCCTCAACTATCTCGGTATTAGTTTTTTATAATTTCTTATTCTTAGCCTCAATAGCGAAATACTAATGATCTCAAAAATATGAGCACTGCCTCGAGGGTCCGTATTGTTATTTCTAGTAATCCATATATGTCTTCAGATAGTATGTTTTACGGCTTAAAAGCAGTATAGTGTAAACTGTCAGTTTCACCAAATACAGGTTCATATGTATAACTCTAAATCACCTTATTTCGTGGATTTTTTTAAATAATATGACTTATATACCTATTTTGGGTTCTTTTACTCTTGCTTGAGCCAGTATATGGAGCGGCAATCGAACCAACGATATAGTAGTTAGGAGTCGAACGACTTCAAGTTACCTCTCCAACTCGGTAAATATTGATGATCCTTCAGTAACTGAAATTAAGCAACTGGTAAAATGTTTGAATTCGCGATCACGCAGATTATGGTCAAGCATCTGATATGATAATTTAATTTTTTACCTTTAGGAAATACCTTATTGATTTTTTTATTTGGTCTATATGACGAGTTAGACTAACGAACATTTGTTTCGGACTCCATGTTGATTATGACTGGCTGATTTAATTTGAAAAAAACCTACTCACGAATCCTTCTTCATTTAATTTTGCAGATTTCTTGGACTGATGTTGTTGCATGTTCTTCCACATTAAAGGAAGCACTTACCAAAACATCGGGATCCTACACAGTTCAGGATTACCCTTCATCCCGTCTATTAGGCAGCTCCCCACCACTTGTGTGGACTTTATCAAGGCGCACACAACGCAGCATTTCTACATCTTCTCCTCCAGCTCTTTCAACAATCACAGAGGTAGATGAGGAGCGGGTTCATTTAAATGATATTTTTTCGAACATGGATCTGGGTTTATAGTAAGTCCATACATAATTTTTTTTCCACAGAAAATAACTTAACTAACTTTTCTGGTTGTAGACTAATTTATTTAAAGAATCCATTTTCCTTAAAAGCTTCGCTTCATTGTTTTTCGTTTGCCTAACATATGATGGAAATGATTCCTTTACACAGAACTTCATAAATCTCATCAAATTACGTCCCACAACTCTAAAGGCTTATAATATTCCTCAATACCTAGTCAAATAATGTATTGTTTAGTTATAAAATGGGTATTTTGTGGTAAAGAAGAATGTTTTACGAACCATTTTAACACATCTCATTTGTTGCTAATTATTCAGTAGGTTCAAAAGTATACAATTTAAGAGTAAATTGATTGACCAGCGCTACAATATCCCGAGATTCTTAATTGAAATACCGTTCAGGGATGTAACTAAATATGCTAATTCTCGAACCATATATTTTGCTCAGTGACTACACTAGATCGTTTTAATAAAATCGCTAGCATTTCTGGATTCTCGTAATTCCAAGCAAAACAATTGATTATATGAATGTGTAGATCACGAAAACACTTCTGTTTGAAGGTTTTGCTAGTTTGACAACTCAGTACATCATACAACCTTCGTTTTTCAGTCCTTTCTACTAATTGATAAAGTGCTTAAAATCTAAACTAGATCTCTTGCGAATCTATAAAAAATTCGTTCGTCATGTGCGCATACCCTTGATTCCAAAATTAAATTTAATGCATTAGTTAAAGATCACTAAACAGTCGTATCACCTTCAGATTTTTCTTTTCCTGTTACAACTTACCATTAGAATACAACTCTCTCAGGTGTTATCGGCTATGTAAAGTATCTTATTCGGGTAAAGTTTCTTACGATGTTTGATACCAATTATTTGGTTTACTGACAATAAGATACTTTGACATTTTCACGTGTTTCAGGCTAACTTGTTCTTCTCAATATTGCTGTCCATCCACTGAATAATGTCTGCTATCTTATTTATCCGACCTGTTCTTTCGTGTTTGACGGAAATATTATCTCGTCTTTTTTTGTAAAATACATCTCACCAACATTATATGAGCCATTGGATTCTTGAAAACCAATTAAATCTATCATATCATTGTTTAAATAAAATAATGTTACCAAGCATTCAATTCTAAGTGGTCAGCACTTGTGACAAATCTAAAGCAGCAAGTCCCAATAACAAACAAATACAAATGTTTACAAGTTTAAAATCTTTAAATTACTTTCCAGTTAGTCAGTGGATGATGTAAATCAGTTTGTAGTCTTGATATACTGAATTGTCTTAATTTGTCGTTCAATGATAATAAGATAGCTAGGTGTGAATTGCCATCTAGCATTTGACATTGGTGTTTCTAAGACCCAAAAGATATTGGAAAAAGTATAGTTTTATACTTAAAATGATATATCTCGAAGACTATTTTAATTACAGAGTTTCTTCTAGTTCATAAACCCTACACCATAAAGTAAAAGTTGATTACAATTGAATGAGTCTATGAAGTGAATTATGTGCATTTTTTCCCTGTTAAATCCAAATAAAACTAACCCATTTATTTGAACAGATAAATTTTATTTAGTTGTGTCTGACTGCTTAATTTTGTTTGGTATTAATTGTTTCATTCTAATTTTTTAACATTTCCTTTCAGAAACTTCGATGAGGCATATTCAAATTTTAACGTTGTATCATCATTTTATTCAAATATCCTCCCGTCCTATTATTTTTCAGCTTTTATAATCCTAATATAAATTTTGATTATTAAACCAATCTGTGATTGGGAAATCCAAGGAAAAAAAATCTTTTTACACTTACTGTGAAAAAAAAAACGAAAAGATAGAAATTTCCATTCCTGTTGTTATTTATTACTGTTGTTTCTCTGAACTATTTCCCTCTCAAATTTTAATCAGCTGTGTACAAATTTCAAAACTACTTGTTTTTTAGAGAAAAAAATTAACAATCAGTTTACTTTATCAGTTAATCAGCAGCAACACTATAGCTCAATGTATACCAGTACTACTATCAGCATATCTTTAATTTACTTAGTTGTTGTTTTTTTATTTCTGTTCATATTATCAAATTACATAAAATCAAACAACTGTACCTGACTAGGGCTTTTTTTTCCTAATATTTCTCTCTCTCTCTCTCTCTCTCTCTCTCTCTCTATATATATATATATATATATATATATATATATATATATATCAACAGCGAAAATCATTAAAAAATTTCCACAATAATTTTAGTTCTTCCTTTTTTGTATCGAAAATAAATTGTGATCAATAATATATTACTACTACTACTACTACTACCATTTATCCTACGCTCTTTACAACTTTTATACTAAACTTCTTCAATAAGATGCAAATGAAATAACATAAGACAGACTATGTATGTATCCGTCCTATCTTGGTTCCTCTTTCTAGTCCGTTTATGCATTCATTTTATCAAAAAATTTTACGAGAAAAAAGTGCAATAAAAATATTTTTCAAATTGATTTTTTTTAGTTTTCGTTTTGTAATAGTTTCATTGAGTTTTCGATTATTGATCTATTTAATTGGTTAACCTATAATTTTCATCGTATTAGGTTGATTTTCCATCCTTTATATAGTTTAAAATATGTAATTAATTAAGATTAGTATATTATCTTCCAAACCAGGTAAACAGATATATAATACTAAACTATGAATTGCTATATTCATTTAGAAAAGAAGTAATTTGTAAAATACATGTATGTATTATACAAAAAATGAATAGTTAAATACAAAGAATACTTGTGTTTAATAGTTCTTGTGTAACTTTATTTAAATATTTGTGCCGTTGCATATTTTCGGTTGGATTTTCATGTTAAAGAAATGGTGCAGAAACTAGGTTGTTTCCAGTCTATTATTTGTGGGTCGGCCCTATACAAAAGTCACGTAGGTAGATGGTGTGCGCTCGTTATTGAAAACTTAGGAAGTAAACACGACTTGAAGTATCATATTCCGTGCTTTCGCAAACATTAGCTGATTTATCAACCTAATTTCAGTGAGTTTGTCAAGTTACATGTGAACAAAGTGGGAATAGTATTACGTGTACTGATGTTATCGATGTATAATCAGCATCTAGAACTTTATCAAGTAAATAGTTGCCGTAAAAAACATCTTGCTACAGAACGGACAGTGTGCGGCCAACATTAACTTTTTTGTCCTTTCTAGATTTTTAAAATTCTAAATGAATTTTCAGTGATCCAAGTTTCCTTTTATGTTTGTGGCTTCAAAATTGAATGGATTTTCGGTGTTATGAATGCCTGATGTTAGTGTCAATAAATCAATATACTTAATTTGATTTCCGATTATCATCACTGTTGCATCATGTGAAGTTTAGTACCATTGGCTAAATTTTACTAATAAAATAACATTGTTTCCCAGTAATAACAGTAAGTACTATTTTCATTAACATCTGTAGAACAAATAATCTTTATTATTGTAAAACTATGTGTAGACCAAAAGGTGAATCACAAGATTCGGTAGTTATTGACTAGAACAGCGATAAATATACACTACCTGAAGTGAGGCGTACAAAAACTGTTAGTGATTATGTTTTGGACTCAATTTTTCATCGATTACTGAAACAAATTTTAATAAAATCCCAGGAAACACCAACTCTAATATATATACATCCTGATATTGATAATTTGAACAATGAATGTTATGACGGATACGGCCTGGGAAATCCTGATGAGTATTCCAAACATAAAATAAGTCATCAATCTTATCATATACCATGAAATATTTGTCACTGCGAAATTCACCTGATTCTGAGAAATTTATTCTATCATTTTTACATTCTATTTCGGTGGGTGGTAGTGAAGTTTTTGATGTATATTTTAGCTTAACTAGTATTTTGTCATTTACTTACTTACTTACTTACGCCTGTTACTCCCAATGGAGCATATGCCGCCGACCAGCACTCTCCAACCCACTCTGTCCTGGGCCTTCTTTTCTAGTTCCATCCAATTCTTGTTCATTTTTCTCATATCTATCTCCATTTCTCGGCGTAATGTATTCTTTGGTCTTCCTCTCTTCCTTCGACCTTGAGGATTCCATATGAGGGCTTGTCTTGTGACGCAGTTCGGTGCTTTCCTCATTGTGTGTCCTATCCACTTCCAGCGCTTCTTCCTGATTTCTTCCTCCACTAGGATCTGATTTGTTTTCTCCCACAGTAGGTTGTTGCTTATAGTGTCCGGCCAGCGGATCTGAAGTATTTTGCGTAGACAACTGTTAATAAACACCTGTATCTTTTGGACGATGGATTTCGTAGTTTTCCAGGTTTCCGCCCCATACAGTAAAACTGTCTGCACATTTGTATTGAAAATTCTGACTTTGGTGTTGGTTGCTAATTGTTTTGAGTCCCAGATATTCTTCACTTGTAGATATGCTGCTCTTGCTTTGCCGATCCGCTCATTCACATCTGCATCAGATCCACCGTGTTCATCGATGATACTGCCCAAATATGTAAAGGTTTTTACATCTTCCAAAGCTTCTCCGTCAATTGTGATTGGATTGGTGCATGCTGTGTTGTATCGGAGAATCTTGCTTTTCCCTTTGTGTATATTGAGACCTATTGCTGCTGAGGCTGCTGCTACACTGGTCGTCTTCTCCTGCATTTGTTGTTGCGTATGCGATAGAAGAGCCAGATCATCTGCGAAGTCTAGATCATCCAATTGCATCCTAGCTATCCACTGTATCCCGTGCTTCCCTTCAGATGTTGATGTCTTCATGATCCAGTCGATCACCAGGAGAAAGAGAAAGGGTGAGAGTGAGCAACCTTGCCTGACACCGGTCTTTACTTCGAACGACTTTGTCAACTGTCCTCCATGCACGATTTTGCAGTTTAATCCATCATAGGAATTCTGTATGATATTGACTATCTACTGAGGCACGCCGTAGTGTAGAAGAAGCTTCCATAGGGTTGTTCTGTCCACGCTATCAAATGCTTTTTCGTAGTCGATGAAGTTGATATAGAGTGATGAATTCCATTCAATTGATTGTTCCACAATGATCCGTAGAGTTGCGATTTGGTCTGTGCACGATCTATCCTTAAGGAATCCTGCCTGTTGGTCTCGAAGTTGGGCGTCTACGGAGTCCTTCATCCTGTTTAACAATACCCTGTTGAAGACTTTTCCTGGTATTGAAAGAAGAGTGATTCCCCTGTAGTTGTCACAGTTGCTGAGATTGCCTTTCTTTGGTATTTTGACAAGAAGTCCTTCTTTCCAGTCTTTTGATACCTGTTCCTCATCCCAGATCTTTCTGAAGAGAGTTTGGAGTATCCTTGCAGTTGCCGCTACGTCTGCTTTCAGTGCCTCTGCTGGAATGCTGTCTAGTCCTGCTGCTTTGCCACTCTTGATTTGTCTGATAGCCATGCTGATTTCTTCAATTGTCGGTGCGCTAACATCAATTGGGAGGTCCGTGAGTGCTGCTTCGATGTTGGGTGGGTTCAGTGGGGCTGGTCGATTCAAGAGTTCTTTGAAGTGTTCTACCCACCTGTTTCGTTGTTCTTCAATGTTGGTGATTATCTTGCCTTCCTTGCTTTTCACTGGTCGTTCTGGTTTACGGTGATTTCCGGAGAGTTTCTTTGTTGTGTCATACAGTTGTCTCATGTTTCCTTCTCTGGCAGCCTTTTCCGCCGTCAATGCCAAATCTTCGACATATTTACGTTTGCTTGTTTACTTCTGTGTATTCAGCCTGTGCCTTGACTTTTTCTGCTCTTGTTCGACTGGTATTGATTTCTGCTTTCTTGTTCCTCCTTTCTTGAATCTTATCCAGTGTATCGACCGTGATCCAATCCTTGTGATGGTGCTTCTTTTGGCCCAGAACCTCATTACATGTTGAAGTGATTGCTTCTTTTATCTCTTTCCAGTTGCTCTCCATGGTAGTTCCTTCTCCATTGAGTAGATCATGAAAGGCTTGGAACTTATTGCTCAGGGTTATCTTGAATTTATTGAGTTTGTCAGTATCCCGAAGAAGAGCCGTATTAAATTTTTGTGATATTGTCCGCCCTGTTGTCCAGTGCCTCTTGAGTTTCAATTTCATCTTGGCGACCAGCAAGTGATGATCTGATGCTATATCAGCTCCTCTCTTTGTTCTCACGTCCTCCATCGTCATCCTGAACTTTTTGTTGATGCAGATATGGTCGATTTGGTTCTGCGTGCTGTGATCCGGTGAAGTCCATGTGGTTTTGTGGATGCGTTTATGTGGGAATATAGTCCCGCCTATGAGCAGTTTATTGAAGGCACATAGATTTGCAAATCTCTCACCATTTTCGTTCCTTTCTCCCAGTCCGTGTCGTCTCATGATCTCTTCATATCCGGTGTTGTCAATTCCAACCTTGGCATTTAGGTCTCCCATCAGAATAGTCAGGTCTTTTGTTGGGCACTTCTCGACGATTGACTGCAGCCTATCGTAGAATTGATCTTTAGCATCTTCATTGTATTCGTTGGTAGGCGCATAGCATTGGATGACGTTCATTGTAATGCCCGTTTTCTTTGTTTTGAAGGAGGCTTTGATGATCCTTGGTCCATGAGATTCCCATCCTATAAGTGCATTTTGTGCTTGTTTGGACAGCATCAATGCAAATCCTTGTGTATGTGGAGCATTTTCTTGTTCATGTCCGGAGTATAACAGCAGCTCCCCTGAAGCTAGTCGTTGTTGTCCAACTTGCGTCCAATGTGTTTCACTGATCCCAAGCACCTCTAAATTGTATCTCTTCATTTCTGCAGCAATTTGGGAAACTCTCCCAGTCTCCCACATTGTGCGAGCATTCCATGTACCTAAGTAAATGGTTGCTCTGGTTTTCAGAAGGGGTATCGGCCTCGTGACTTCCGAAGAAACTCGGCTTTCATCATGAGGCGTCATAATTCTTCTAAACGAAGACCTCCTGACTCCCAGGGCAGAGTTTAAATGGTTTGAATAATTTTTTCTGGTTGGCGTTTTTTTAGCGAGTTAGTTTTCTACTGGATGGGGTCGCTAACCCCATGCCCAACCCTCCTCCTTTATCCGGGCTTGGGACCGGCAATAGCTCCCGGAAAGGGACTCCAGGCGGAGTTATTTTGTCATTTGCTAAGTCATATTTACCTATATTTGGAGTAATTCTACTTATAAATATCTGTATTACCTCTCCACT